GCCGGGCGGGAGCTTGAATCGGAGACGGTAGTAGAGATGATAAAGTACGTATGTGAAAATGAAAGCTAGAGGAATTGCAACAGGTAAAGGAATGGGAATAGCCATTGTTAGGATATTGAAGAGAAAGAAGGATAGTAAGGATTTTATATAAAAGGGGAGGGAAAAGGTAGGTGAGGGGTATTTTAGTCTTTTAAAATATGGTAGTTGGTGTTTTTGGTGAAGAATATTTAGATTTAAAAAATGGAAACATGAAGATTGAGAGATTTTTAAATATGAAAAAGAGAATTTTGATTGGTGAGGGAATGTATAGTCAATGGGTAAAAGTATTAAGGAAACATAACTTATTATTTAGACTATGAATTTACCTTTAAATATTTATAATTGTAGTTTACACATAGCTCGATCATTTATACGATATATATATTGTCGAGTTAAAATTTAGATATTAAGAAGAAGAAAAAGGAATTATAATGTATTTGTCTAGTGAATTTATCAATTATTCATTCTATAATAGTAAAATAAATTTGTTGTTTAATTTCTAAATATGAATTAGACGATTCATATTAGAACTATCGCTCCTGCACTTTTGTGATCTAATTTATTTTATGTCAAATAAATGACGATATTCCTTTATTTTTCAGGAGTTTTACTTGTAAAAATTCAAACTTCGCAACAATATGTTGGAGTTGTTTATTTCGTGTTTTAGGAGGGGTAATCCTTTTTGTTCATATTTTATCTCGTTAAAGTGACTATTTTTCAATTACATGGCAAAAAAAGCTACCCACGTATGCCCTTTTTACCAACTTCATTGGAAGGTCAACATTATGCTTAAGAATTCATTTTGCCCATGGTTGAAACACTTTCCTGCAAAAACATTGGCGCCTACAGAACAGTTGCTGATAAAAAAAAGTATGAATGAAGATGGGAAGATAATGGCCCATAGAAACAAAATGTGGTTGGTAAAATGGACCCACTTGAAGACTGAAGTAGTAGGTTATGATGTTTGTTGATTAAAAAAAAATAAATGTGTAGATAATGAAAGGTTACAATTTTATGCTTCAGAGTCAAGTCTTTGTTATTGTTGATCATTGAGCTAACTCATTTAAGGATTCATAATTGATTTTCGATACAGATAATTGTTCTCTTTGAATAGTAGTATTACAAAAGCTTACTGAAATATGTATACTAGGTCATCTACAAATAAAAATATACAAGCAAGCAAAATGATTTGTCCTAAGAGATGTTAGAACTTGAACTTGAAGTGTCCTGAGGGGCTTCAGATTGGACTTCAACTTGTGGAGCAGGAGCTTCTGGAGCAGAGCTTTCAACTTCTGGTGTAATTGCTACTTCTTCGGTTTCTGGTGCAGTTGGTGCTTCGGTTATTGAAGCTTGGACTATTTCCGCTGGCTTAAGCTTGTTGATATAGTAGCTAAGGGATGGTCCCCTGTACTCCACTGTTTGTATCGGAGGAGGTGAGTTCTTCCCAACTTGAAGGAGAATCGATGAAGCAGCTGCAACAGAGATTAAGGCTATCCCAGCTGAAATAGCTTTGGTGTTCTCTGCTCCATCAGATGAGGTGCCTGCAGTACCAGAGCTTATAGCACTTTCTGCTACATAAACTGCAGGCTGTTACAAAATTAAGCAACATCAATAACACTGATAACAATAACAGCATCCATACAGGTCGTCAAAGAGGAATATTTTCTCTTAAGAACTGCCAAAAGAGAATGATGATTCAGTGTGAATTGCCAAGATATATATACTTTCACCCATCATATATTGTACCAAACTTGTTAGTAATTCTGAAGAATTTTAGACAGAATCCTAGGCACATTGATCCTAAACTAAGTGAGAGGCCATGGGGCAGGGAAAAATCGAGTTAATCAAGAGAAGCAACACAGTTTGTCTTGTAAAAGCATAAGACAAGTGATTGGTATTTTATGATTCATCGTGTTACTCCTTTTTGGAACCCTGATATCTCTAGAATATGAGGTCCATTTCTATCATGGTATCAGAGGCAGATCCTTCCCAATTCGTTGTGTACCTGCTATGATAGTTTTCGTGCTAAAAGCTACTGCATGTCATAATATGAAACTTCCTTTGCTCCATACCACCAGAACAATGTAGTTTCAAAAGAACTTGCGTCTTCGCAGAACATAGAAGTACTAACCTCAACAGAGTATATATTTGTCTGCCCAGCAGTATCCTTCTCAACATACCCTGTCCAGCCACGCGGCTTACGAGGTGGAAATGTACCAACCACTTTGGTGTTGTCCATGGCTACCCATTCCATGCTCACCTTCCCAACCTGTTTCCAATATAAAAGATGAATCACAATATTTTCCAGTGTGAACTACCATCTTGCTGGATGGTATGACATGCAATATTGACCTACTAATGTTTGTTAAAAAGCTATCAAGTAAAGGCTGAAGAACAAACTCAAAATTACCACAAAGAGTGTATAAGCATAGTTTGCAATTCTGTTTTATGAGCGAAAAATAACAATTACATGCTTTCGCATCACACACTCTTATTATCATGATTAACTCTCCTTCCACGGAAAGAAAAGATAAAATGTTGCAATCATGTAATGAACGCAACCTGACATACAATGTATCACAAAGATGCATAACTCATGAAAGAATTTACACCAAATTTGTGCCTTCCTCACAAACTCTTCAAGAGAAAATACAAAAGCTTCATTGTCCACAACCTGCCTACAGCAAGCCATATCAACTGGTCTCTTAGACTCTTACACCAATACATTTTCTCCCCAAAAGAATTTCAATTTGTGCTGGTCTTTTCCCAACTCATAGCAAAATATTTCCTCACTAGACATGAAAAAGTGTTCCACATGCCTCTATATTTATAAACAAATACAACTCTAATGTGCAGCTTTTCCAGAATTAACTCGTCAACCTTATACATTCTAAGTGAAATCAAACTGCTGACATCTTTACTAGTTGCAGCAGTATACACAAATATATCATTATCATCCACAAATGCTAGAGCACAGTATTCACACTCTTTAGGCAGCAACTTTTACAGTCTCCGGAAACATAAGTTGGCATACTTAAAGCTTATGGGTTCAGAATTCTAGTTCATTCAGGCAACTTGATTCTAAATTACCAATTTGTATTTATTCAATCGATTTCTTAAGACATACAGAGTTTGGACAAAGCTACTTGGTTTATCCAAACCTATAACCTGCATAATAGCTCCGGCCTGGCCTATAATTAGAGCAAAATCAGCCATAATTATTATCCAAGATCGTTTTCGAGAGTTGGCTATGTAACCAAAACAATTCCCAAAGCTCTAAAAAGGGAAAACTTTTCAGATTCTACTACTCATTTCCTTTTTTCTACATCTGTCAACAAATATGATTCGAAAAACACAAATTCAACAGTAGTTATATAAATTGAAGAAAAGCAAAGAGGAAATTAGACCTCCTTGTCTGGGGCACATTCTTCAGCATTGCAATCAGAATCGTCAGTTGAAGCCCGAACTCTGAATCGGACGAGACTGTGTCTTTGCCTCAATTTTGAGTCCTTTTGGTATGTGGAAAAGCTCAATCGTCCAGTAGACGATGAAGCTATGGTGCAGCTGTTTGCTGATAAAGCAGCACAAGCCATTATCTTACAAATTTGCTTGTAGCCCAACTATGTTGGTGTCTTTTAGGTAGTATATTGAAGTGATGAAGAAGCAGAACCACTAGTAGAAATCTGATGCTTCTTCGATTGGCTGTGTTTGAGCCTCCAAAATCCTCTTATGGTTTAGTTTTTGTGGTTTGATTTGAATGCACGTTGAGTGGTTTATGCGTCTCAGATTTCATTTCTCTTTTAAATTGACAATTATACCCCTTATTGTCATTTTGCGTCATTCCCACACAGGTTTTTTTGTCCATTTTTTATTTATGTTTGACTTGATACACACCGTGGAAAAATGAACAAAAGAAAGAAATAACAACGAATGGTTTGCTAGATGATTGCATATTTATAGCCTATGGACTGAATCACGAAATCTAAGATTTTAAGACAATGAATTTTAAATTTATAATTAAATTTGAAATAAATTTATTAAATTTCATTAAATCCGTAATGTTTATATATTATAAATATGTTCCTGAGGTAAAATGTCTTAATTTGAATCGAAGTGCATGTGACAAATTAAAACACCAAAGTAGAGCAATTATAGGTAGATAGACTAATTATATGTCAAATAAATCCATCTCAACCACCTAACGGGCAATTCAATTGCATGGTTGAGTCACAGTTCGAGTTTTTTAACGTATGTTTTAAGATATGAGTTTCTAACCTATAATATTAAATTATTATAGTATATTCTATTTGATATAAAAGACATTTGATCCCGTAATATTTGGATTAGTTTATGATAAAAAAATAATAATTAAGAAACTCATCCAGCATAACGAGGAGCTATAAAAAAGTTTAGATATAAATACAAAAACACTTCCGCTCTAATTTTAAAATAGGCACCTTCTCGGGCCACCACCGTCGCCGCTGATTGGCTTCGTCAACTCATATATGAAAGTAGTATTGTTTTAACTTTGTTCTCATTCTTTAATATATATATATATATATAAGATGTATAATAACATATGGAATTGGTAGGTTAAAAGATGAAATCAACGCTATAAAAAAATTCTCTCATTTGTTTTAGCCTTGTTGGATAGAATTATTTGATAATAAATATTTTTTTCGTTTCACAAAAAATAATCTAGTTTGACTTGATACGGAATTTAAGAAAATAAAAAAGATTTTTGATTAAATTAAAATTATATCAAATATATAAAATTATCGTATAATCTCGGAGAATTTTATAGAACTAATTCATGAGATGCACACCACCAACTCCAAAGACTACGGTCACAGAAAAAAGAAAATCCATTCACACTTTTGTTCGGTCCCAGATTTTCCTCCTCTTCTTCAGCTAATTAGCCCAATTCCCAACGTGGACCTGGATCTCATTTTCAAACTCACTGTAGACTCTGTAATCTCTAATGCACATGATGAACATAGCAATTTATTTATTTGGTTCTGACAACATCTACTCACTGGCCCAACCTCATTTATTTCTTCCCCTAATTTTCTTCTTCTTCCATTAATTTGCACTACACACTTCCACAAAAGAAAATGTCTATATCAAATTTACCTGCAGATTCTGCATTTAGCCTCAAATACGGCATCGCCATTGCCGTCGCCATTTTGATTCTCATTTCCATCATCATGTTCGCCTCCTACGCTTGTCTTCGTGTCAAATTAGCCGGAGATTTGACGCCACCGTCGTCTTCTTCAAATGAGACTAGTAATAATAATTACAACATCTATGGCTACTTCTTCGGATTGGATCGGCCGGTTATAGAGTCGTTCCCCAAAGTAGTGTTGGGTGAAAGTAAGAGATTGCCTAGTTCAATTAGTGATACGAATACATGCGCAATATGCTTGTGTGAATATTGTGTGAAGGATTCCGTTCGTTGTATGCCGGAGTGTAATCACTGTTTTCACGCCGATTGTGTTGACGAATGGTTGCAGAAGAGTGGGAGTTGTCCGATCTGTAGGAGCTCTCCGGTTTCTACATCTGCAGGTTCAACACCGCTGCCTGTGCCTAATTATTATAGGTTTAATTTTGTATAGAATTAGTTCTAGTTTGAAATATCTCTCTAACCTGCGCACCCCACTATATAAATAGCCTTCAAACTATGTAAAGATGATCGACTCAAAAGGCATCGAAAGAAAATTAATCTCCAATCATTCACGTGGATAATCACCTTCAAATCAACTGAGTTATTAACCTATAATTTATGTAAGAGATAAATGTTCAAAATTTAGATTCCATTTGGTTCTTTATATATAAATATAATGGGAAAAAAGTTCTTTATTGGATAATATAACAAATCTTTATATATTACTATATACTTTTTCTGTTTTAAAAAGGATGATTTAATTTGATTTGGAATGAAGTTTTTTTAAAATAAATTTAATCTTGTGAATTGAAATTAAAGTTATATTAAATGTATCAAAATATTTTTAATTTTGTGATCTTAAATATGCCACGTGAAAAGTTAAAACTAAAGTGTTGCAAAAAAAATTATTTTTTTTAAACAGACTAAATAAAAAATAAAATCATCTTTTTTTAAACGAAGAAAATAATATATAGAGTATAATTTTTCATTGTTACGTAACAACATTTAAAGTGACACTCGGTAAGTAAAAATCATCCAAACAAGTTGTCAAAGTGGTTTGGTACGCGCGACGATGTAAATAAGTACATATATCTCATGATTATTTTAGTGCAAATAAAAATAAGCTCGAGATTAGGCAACACCGCAAATCAAATGATGAGATTAAGTCAGTTTCAAAACTATTATTCTTTATGGCACATTTTGTCGGAGGAAATGACATAAATAGTTCCTTAATTATAGGAGTAAATCTAACATAATTTTTTAGCTATACACTTAACATATATAATTCTTTAACTGTTTAATAACTTATTAACTTTGATCGCTTAACTATATTGATTTTCGTTCCTTAACTAAAAAGTTATTGATTTTAATTCTTTATGTAAACAAAAAACTTATCAGGTTTAGTCTTTATTTATTTCTTTAATATAAATAGCTTAGATTTATATTAACAGAATTCATGTCTCAAGAAATTAAATCATTTAGCAATTCTTTTTGTTATTTCTCTCTCTCTCCTTCATTTTTATCAAATTAATCTTATACGAAAAACCTTAACTTTTAACGATTCAAAATAAATTCACAGACAAAGAAAATATAACTCAAGTGGCTGTTAAGGTAAGCCCTGAGCCTTGTAATTTCTCTTCCATGACAGTGGAAAGTCTCTCAAACATGGAAGGTGTATAAGATAATTTATCCAATCTCACCTTTCCTAAACAAATCTCTGTTTTCAAAGTCTGAAATTTCTCTTTTCCCTTTCTCATTCACCTCTAAATCTTTCATATTCTGGAAACTACAAAGATTTGAGTCCTCCTTTAAAACATCTCAAATCATGATATGGTATCACCATGTGATTCCATATCTGGTTTTTGGAGAATATGGTATCACATCTCATGATACGGAATCATGAGATGGAATCAGCGTAAAGTGACATGTCCAAACGCTGATTTCATCTCACGATAATATATTGTTGATATGATATCGCATGGTCAAACACCTACTTAATACTGATGAAATAATATGATAAATTTTGGAGGTAGGTAAAAAGACAATTATTCTTTTCATGTATTACTCCCAGCATTAAACAATATTTTTCATATTATTTTTTAACCTAATATTAAACATTAATTAGTACGCACAATGAAGTAAAATATTCACATCAATAATTATTTTTTTAATAGATATATTAAATCAAATAAAAATACAGAGACTGACTTTTTAGGAATAATATTATTTTCTAGTGTTTATTTGGGAAAATCCCTAACTATAAGGTGGCTCAGCCCTAAATGATGTGGTATGGCATATGTGTTGGAAACTTAATACTCATGAAAAACATGACAGATTTAGGGGTACATAACATGCTTTAAAATATGTATTTTTTTAAAAAAAAAAATATCTATTTTCTAGAGACTGATTTTTCAGGTTTTTTGCTGTGTTTTATTTTTTTAGTTGCATACTTTGAAATTAAACTTAATAGGCATGAAAAACATGACTGGTTTAGATGTCCTTTAAAATATGTATTCAGACAATTCTTTTAATATTTTAAAGAGATCGACTTTTAGGCGTAACTTTTGTCTCATTTTTTAGTGTTTAATATAAGTTTTATGCTTCAAAAATTAATTTAATATGAATGAAATAAATGACAGATTTAAAGTTAGGTACCGTCCTTTAAAAAGATGTATTTACATAATTATTTTTATCTACTTCCTAAAGACTGAAAAGGTGTAACTTTTTTTTTTGAGTGTTTAATATAATTTTTTTGGTTTCATACTTTAAAATTTTGGTGAAACTTTTTTATGTTAATATAAGATTCCTTTTTTAAAATAAATTTAAAAGAATTCATACTATTAAACAAAAGACTATTTTTTGTCATTTCCTCTTAACGATTTTGTACGGAACCGATCAAATATTACATTTTAAACCCCATGCAGTGGGAGGAGAAATCTGCAGTTGGTTGGGAGACCAGTAGTATGAAGACTCAAATGTGAATTTGAGATTGAAAATTTTTAAATTTAATAATTTGACAATTAAATCCATAATCAAATAGTCATAATTTTTTAAAATTTCGTAGAATACAATCTTAACACGTGAATTTATAAATTACACAACCTCAACCCTTAATGACACATCCAATGAGCTGTGATTGTTTGTTTGGTGGTCCAATTTCATTGTACGTTTAAAATGAATCAATATCTCAACTTTGTATTTTCTGAGTTGTGATTGCTTGTTTATTTCATTGTACGTTTAACCAGTATTTCAACTATAACTTTTTAAATTGATAAATTTCAAGTGTTAATAATTGATTCCTAAACCTAATAGTTACTCATATTTGTTCACTATTTACTTTACATACTTATTTTATTTTATCACTCTTTGAGTATAATAAATAACAAGAGAAAATATATATACTCAAAACTATCGCAAAATGATATGTATATCTTCCGTCGTACTATTGAAACGGTGATGCCCCTGTCATATGCTCTTCATTCTAATAAAAACTGGATATCGACCAACACCGTATATGGACTTCTAGCTTCTGTGCCGCTGCCACATCAGTTTAAATGCCTATATTACCCAACAGCAACTACAAATACTTGTATACCTAAGTCAGGACCGTGCCGGTTCCGGTACCGTTCAGTCCCAGTTTGTTGCCGGTTCTGATACCGGTGCGGTTCCGTTACGGCTTGTACCGGACTGTATACCCAATGTTATGACGTTGCAAATACATCAACCAAACAATCAGAAGTTAACTTAAAACAACCATATAATACTCACAACAAACCTAACCTGGCATTGGTCTCATATTGTTTGCTCATATAAAGCTCTCAAGTACCAAAAGATATAAACAACTGTTGATGAAGCTAGCTTACCCAAATTGAAAAATATCAGATGCTTACAAAATTCTAAAAATAAACATATATGAATTTTTTTCTTACTAATATTGTCTGGAGCCTATAAGAAAAAACCAGGGCTCCTTGCAGTGTTTCGCTGCTTACATTACCCGTGGAAGTCTTAAAGAAATGCCAGGATTCAACAGTCTTCTTGACCTCTTGGAGCTCGGATAGCTCCTCTGCCAAGGCGACTGTCATATGGAAGGAACTATCGATCAGCTGGCAGACACGGAAGTAAACATGGTTAGCCTCTAATCACGCCTACTATACAAGCTGTCGTCAAAACATAGCTGGATAGGGTGATGCAAGACGACCATGCTATAATATCATGAACGAAAGGTAAGAACTAGGATGCAAAGTGGTGCCCATCACAGTTCCACTTCAAGAGGAGTTTAAGCAGAGTGAAGAGTGCATTGTTTATCCGCTAAAAGTAGGGACATCACAACCAGAGGAACCTGCTGAGATATTCCACAACATAGCGCCTCCCGAATGATGTCTTATGTTGGTGGCTTCTGTAAAGTCAAATGATGAGCCTTCAGAAGCACCAAACTCTACATTGCTGAACAAAAAGTTGGCAACAGTTCTGTCAATGACATTTGTCCGCGATTCTGTTGTCTCTTCTTCGTTGAACCTGATATTTTTTTCCAGTATGAGAAAATAAGCACATCAATACAGGAATACCAACACTTCCCTTAATCTAATGACAACAAGAATTTCATAATGCATTTTCCCTCTTGAATTATTTGGTGTATTTAGGCTTCAAATGAAGCTCTACTGTTTTTTTTATTTGTTGTTTCCGTTCCACTAGACGACGGTGAAATTTTGAGCAGACAGTACACAAAACAATGAAAGCTTTTTACATATTTAAGCATAGGGAGTACTGAAAGATTTTACAAAATAAAGATATAATTCCTCTAATGATCTTCAACCAGGCAGAGCCTACAGAAATACATCCATTAGAGTCTCCCTAATCATGACCTACAACATCATGTGTAACAACTCACTAACAAGCTCTAGACTCTAGTCCATCAATGAAAGTAACTGAGCATGCGCACTAACCGCGTCGAATCTTGATCTGGCATGGCATTCCTACTCTGACATGCACCATGTTTTGAATTTCCTGCAAGACGATATAGAGAATCCCGGAAGCAGATTCTGGTTTCCTCCGTCAGCTGTTTGGTAACAGGACGAGCACAAATTCAGTAAACCTGGCCATTCGACCATAATATTACACTGGTAAACCCAAAACATAAAACCTGCACTACCTGAGACATGAGATTTTCTAGGTGTTGTAGGACGGATTCCTCCATGGATATTTCCTCGTCACTCGATCTATTGTCTCCTTTATCATGCTCCAATTTTACGGCAGCCTCTGCGTGTGGTGCCTGAAAATAAAATTTCAATGATTTAGACTTCAGAACTCAGATAGGTGAAAGCTTACAAATAGAAAAAAAAGACTCAACAAAATGAGAATGAATGTGTATGCATATGTTACTGCTAATTGCCATCAGTTAAAAATCCAAAAAATATGTTTAGACAGCTGCCTAGTTCCTTTATGATGTCCCCACATGCCTCGACGACTTCCCATGAAACGAAAACCCAATACAAATAGTAGTCTCCTCCTCCATCTGCACCTATAACTGACCAATCCTATGAAATAAAACAGAGGGGATAAAGACTATACTCAACCATATCTTTCTTTTTTCCTCTTAGAAATTGTAATAGAGAAATGCAGCTCTAGCTTATCTAAAGAATTATACCATGGCAACTGTCTAAACTTGGTTGAATAAGCAAACATGTTCAAACATTATTCTGCTTATGATTCCCTCGGTATTTGTAAAGATATGACACCTGGACCTAACTCAACCCCAAAAGCTAGCTCAGGAGAAAGATTGTTCAAGTCCCATATAAGGAGATCACCAGTCTATTACCCATGTGAAACATTTACCCACTCTAACACACCCAAACCCGACTAGAGCGTGGTCCGGGAGCCTAAACGGGAATGGACCTGGATTTGATACCATGTAAAGATATGATACCTAGGCCTAACTCAACCCCAAAAGCTAGCCCGGGGAGGATCGCCAAGTCCATATAAGGAGACCACCAGTCAATTTCACAACCAATGTGGGACTTTTAGCCACTGACAATATCCAAAATAAAGTGACCCACGGCATGAGGTTTGTACGATTCGACACTGTTACAAGCCGTCTCTAGAGTAGGGACAGACCTCCATAGGTCAGAAAGAAGGGTAGCTGCTTCAAGCTCAATTCCCCAGGAAAGAGAAAATAATTTGTGCTCTTCTAGAGATTTTAGGATAATTCTGATTTTTTACCTTCAAATTTTAGTTCAACCCTCAATAATCATGCAAAGTTCGCCCCTGCTTGAATGCAGGTGAAATATTCCCAAAATTTCCTTCCACCAAAAAGCATGAGAAGTAACCTGGATTGTTCCCTGCATCTGCCTCAATGCAAATTTAAAACTCCAAGTGAGCCAAAAATCTTTTCATGTAAGACTGAAACTCATCATGATACACCGGACCAATTAACTTATCGGCTGGTCCCTCTAAAGCTCTCAGATGACATAATATATGTGCAGTGAAGTCTTTTGAGTTCTTCTGGGGTTGATGATTCAACTCCAGCTTCACAGATTGGAGTTGTTACATGAAAATTCATGCCCTTCAGAAACAAAAATGAACAAAAGCATCACCTTTTTCAGCAAATAAGAATTGTTAACTTCTTGCCCCTCCCAATCCACTGGTGAAGTAAAAGCATGTGCAGAGAAATATTTGGTAGTACCAGCACAAGCTTTGCTCGTCATATCTCTTGCTTGATCATCACCCAGCAGCATGCTGCAACGGGAATCTGTTGATGACTCATCAGATGCATCCATTCCAGTTGGACAGTTTTCTTCGAGTAAGGAACTTCTGCATAATGGAACATAAGAACTCGATCAGTCAAAATGATAAGGTTCTTCCATCTAACGCCACAACTATAGGTCAACTAATTCAATAATAGAATAAAACAAATACAATTCATCAGAGTTAAGAGCTTTACAGGAACACATCATCCAACTGATCGATTGAGGTCAAGTTATCAAGATGAAATTCCAGCTGCTCAGGTGGTGGATATGAGGACCATTGATCCATGTCACAGTATGAAGCTTGGTTAGCTGCATTATCAAAAGGCTCCTCGTGAATTCCAAAGTTTTTCATGTCAACATCATTAGATAGGCCATTCCCAATCACTTTACAATCTTCGGCTCCAACGTATGACCTTATATTGTTCCTTTTCATTTCTGACTTGAAATTCCCAAAGGGTGTTGAGTCCCACTGTGACCAGCTATCAGAAGATGGCGAAAAGCCATCTAAGCTTTCAGGAACAACAACATCACCATCATCAACGCGAGAAAACCACTCCATAAGATTAACCTGGTAGAATAGTAATCATGGTAAAATTTGAGAAATCAAGATAGAACACAAGTGAGAAAGTTTAATAACCACACTCCCACCCCTCACTCCATGCTTGATAAAAGTTAACTCGTCTCATTTCTCAGCTGTAGATAAATGCAAGTTCAACACACACCAAGTCCACATAAATCTTAAACAACACTAAACACAAAGACAATCATCTTGTTTTCCCAAGTTTTTTCATATTCCCCAAGAAACTGATACTACCAATTCAAGAATTTTAGTAGCTCAGTTGGTTGACTATCCGAGTCGATTGAGTACAACTTTCACTTTGTTGGTGAGGTTGGACTCACCGCCTGGTAATTCCCTCCCCATTTCCCCTACTCTTACCCCCAATGAGAGAAAAAGGATGCTGTCAATTCAATTCTATTCAATATTTAGAACAGATAGATAGAAACTCTCTCTAAAATTTCAAATACAAATTACTTTAAATTTGAGATCTAGACCTCCATCCAGATATTCTAGCCAAAAAAATAATTAGAGAGAGTAAACAAATGGTAGGAACTTTTAATTTAAGGAAAAAAAAGAACATAATTCAGAGAAGTTTTAATACAAAACAGAACTGATCAACTTAACTCAAACCATAAATCATGATAAAACAACCTCATAAGCAGATCAAACCCAAGCTGAAGTCTTTCTCCAAATTTATGAACAGAAAAACCGCAAATACAGAGAATTTCAACCAGCAAAAATCACACATATAACTGAAAACCATCCAAAAAGCACTAAAACCAGCTCAAGAATCAACACAACAGCCCCTTATTCACCTCCATAAACGTAAAAACCAAACAAAAATAACTTACCCTTCTGAAAATTGCCAGAAAATGAGGAAAAACTTTTCCCAAAATAGCCAAAACCAGAGGAGAAAGCAAGTGGAAATAAAGATAGGATTTTTTTCGTCTTAGGGTAGGAGAAAATTATGTGTAACTTTGCAACTTGGAGAGTGTATATATATATATATATTTCCTTTTTGTTTTGCAATAATAACTCACAGTTAGTGGTATTGTAAATTGCCATGGCTATAAATTTATCCCACTTTTTTTATCATCACAATTATTTTTGTCCATATGAAAACGAATTGACTATAATACCCTTCGTGTTACAATTAAAGATCCTCTATTTTATTACCAAAATCAAGAATGTAAGGTGTATTTCGTAAAGTCAATAGAGAGTATAATTCATGGAATATAATCTTAGCAAATGGGTGTATGAAAGGGTAAAATTGGAAGGAAAATATGCCACTTGGACCAATAAGATGTGAGATTTAGATGGAAAGAATAAGAGCCTCAAATTGTTAAAGGCAAATAATTGTGAGCCACAAATGAAAGAAGTGTAGAGTATATTATTCATGAAGATTTTGCTTGATTGCGTCACGTGGCGGTGAGGGATAAGGCCCACGTAAATCAATTGATTTTACACGTGGCAATTAAATAAGAGGCAGAGTCAGCAGCGCTATTTTTGGGAATAATTAAAAGTCTGGCTCAATCACGTGATGAAAAATGTTGGGATAAAAAAGGATAGCACAAACTTTTTGTTGATTTGAGGCCATGTGAAAATGGGTTTGCTTTTTTCAATCGGATAAGAATAATAATCACGTGATTCGAATAGCCAGCATTTTTCATTTTTAGTTTCAAATCGTTTATTTGAGTCACTAAGATAGCATAAAGAATTGTGTTTTTGATCATCTTAGCTACTCTCTAAACCACCTCATTTCTATCGCATTTTATCTTTGTATAAATACATTTGAAATAATATATTTTTTATTTATTTATCAAATATCGATAAATAAATTAAAAATTCTCTCATTTTTAATATAAAACATTACTTTTAATTTAACGAACGAATAAATTATCTAAATGATCATCCATATTTTATAAAAAAGTTTACTTGCTAAAATTATTTTTACTTCTTTTAGAATGACGGTGTTACTCAATTATTATTATTTTCCTCGAACGTTTTTTTAATACAATAAAAAGTTATTTTCTCCTAATTTAATGTCGTTTTACATTAAACTTATCTTTTTTTCTAATAAAACATTTATGTTATATCATTTAACGCGACCAGATTTTAGACACGATAAAATCTAGATGACCATTTATAGTAAACAATTTTGAAAACATGGATAAGATTAAACATAGAATTATAAATAAAAAAATTTAACATATAGTTAAGTCATTATAGAAATGTTCATACCATGCTAAAAAAAAAAAGCTTTTAGCTTTGATCATTCAATGACGCAGTATTAATGTTTCAAAGGACATTATTATTTGAGAGACGATAGAAGTCTATTCATGTATCGTCACTTCCAACATATACTTCAGTTTATATAAAAAGACAATTATGACACTCATCATGTTACCCATGTGTACGTTATACCTAACTTCAAACGTTATGTGAAAGACAAATAATTGAGATATCGTACAAGTACTCTTTAATAAACTACTCTAGAAACATAAACTCCAGGTGCTACCCACTCAAGGGTAATCAACATTTCCAAAAGATGAAAATGTTTCACTCCAAGATTGATATACCAGTCTGCAGGCGAATGTCGACAACCAAAGCGCCTCGTCTGCTGGTTTTAAGAGAAGATCTTCAAGATTTCTACAGTCAACAAGACCAGAAAAGGAATATTAGGCTTAAAAGAATGAAATAAGTCCCCAACACAACAAATCAAAGCAAGTCCTGAGCATCTTTCACCTGCATTGGAAGGTAAAGTTTGAATTCTGGTGGGAGTTCCTCCTCTGAATACAGACGGTCAGAAAAGTATATCCTCCTTAGCCTGCAATTTGCATGAACCTGAACTCGAAGAGTTTCAACATAGTTGGTTCCATAAGCTCGCCTGGTCAAATCAGAAAGGTTCAGCTGGATTTGATTCCATCCTTCATCCAATTTCAAGGGCATAGTGCAAATATAGGGTTTCACTCGGGTTACCGCCTGCAACATAGAGGTGAAAGTTTCAAACTCCAGCATTCATGAAATCTAGTAAATAAACATTAACACAGCTTGTCAAGAGAGGACTTCAAGTCAAAGTACTGCAATATCTCAAGGTCAAAGAATGACCAAAAAGAAAGTTAGTAGCACTTTTTTCCTCTTCTATTTCTCACCTATGCTGCACTAACTATCTAATCCTCACTAATTCAGCTTTTAACAAATATGCCACCAAAACTGCAACCTGTCTATGTGAGATGCTCCACAGTTGTGGAGAAGTTCATATCCAAGCAAAGCAGGAAGTATAGCAACAGCTAGAGAATTTATATTAGGCATTTACATTTTACCTCATTTAGATGTAGCAACTGCTACTTCCGGCATTTTAGTGTGGAAACAGAGATGTTCTCCTATCTTTTTTGACAATTCACAGGTGCTAACTTTCTCCTCGTCACAATTTATTTAAATTAATAGTATCCATTCAGATTTATTGGAAAAATCTTAGTCCATATAACAAGAACCATAGAAAAATTTAATATATGATAATACTACTGTTATAAGTCCAGAAAAAAATGCTACCAAACATAAGCTCTTACCAAAAAGAGCAAGACTCTGTTCATGTCATACACTCCATCTAACAAGTAAAAAAAATAAACTGAATTTTGCTCATAAACAAGTAAAAATTGATTAAATGAAGATCATTCCACTCAGCTACAGCTCCTTCCCAAATGCTAAGATCATCAATTGTCATCCTAGACAGCACTCAGCAGTTTTCTTAAACTAATGACAAAATAACATAATTGGGAAAGACTGCATGTACAAAAAGATAATCCAATATGCAACAAAGAAGTCATAGGAACAAATCTATATATCCTGGAAAGACTTACAGACTTGATAATTAGAAGCTCGAAATCTTCTCCGGACATTTTTATCATCTAAAACCTGAATTTCGAATGTGAAGTACTTCTTCACATTCTTCACTATCATGACTAAGAAGGGCAACTTTATGCCAAGAGTTGCATTAGGATCTGCAGGACACGTTATATATGCTTGCTGGACATTCGACCCAATAATTTCCAGGACATTGGATTGGATATCTTCATCTTGCAGCCGTTTGACATGTCCATCAACAACTGCACACAAGGAATAATTTGCATTGTCAGAATTCAGAAAGGAGAGACAGGATGGAGGTGTTAAAAATTTGGAAAAGAAAATCTCTGAAGAAAATAGCTCTCTTTCAATTGCAGAGCTAGATACTATTTCAACTGAGGGTATTTGTGAGTTGGTGTCATATCAGGCACGTGCAAAGAATCTAGAGAGCTACTAATATCTCTTGTTGCAGGTTAGTTTGGTAACTGTGGGACCTTGTAGTCTCGTTGTTTAATATCTCACGGATGTTACAAAGGACAATAGAGAAAGCAATCGTGTGTTGGAGATAGCAGAGGATTGCAAATGAAAGGAAGGTACTCTAGATCATATGGAAAAGAACAGGATAGACGGAAAGGAGAATGTTCCGTAATAGTGAGAACGATGTAGAATGCATAAAGAGATATGTTTAATTTCACTTGTATTATTGGTGTAACCAGAACATACTGTGTTCTAGATAGAAAAAAATTAAGAATTAAAAGGAAACAAAGGGTGAAACCACAATAAAGTAAACTCTTAAGGTACGTCAAACTTCCAGCAATGAAAAACAAATCACAAAATCCCTACAATACTAATAATATGATTTAGGAACAATCAATTTTTGCCCAGTGAATCTAAATACTGATCATATAACAAAGAGTTCTTTTCAAATTAAAGCAAAAATTAAGGCTCTCCCTGGTGTACTTTTCTAATTACATTGTCCAAAAAGATTCAGCAATCAACAATAGCACTATCCCCACATCATATCACAACACAACTAATTCCAGTACCTCACTCTCTCTTGAATGCTATAAAAAAACTACTCCGCACCAACATATTACACTACAGATATGATCCTCAACAAGAAACCAGTTATATGTCAAAACAAAACATTCCCTTATGCATAAACCCCTCCTTCAGCTGAAAGGGGCAAAATTAAAGTCCCCACAGAAAAACCCAGAACCACCAAGTTAAAACAAAACCCACACATAAATCCTATAACTGAATCTCTGGCAAAATAAGTGCAACCCACATATATATAAGCTTAAAAAATTACCTTCTTTATCCCAAATCTGCAGAGGCTTGCTCCTGGAGGAAAAAAAAACTAATCTTTAATACAAGTAGATGAGTTAAAATTGAAAACTAAACAAGAAAGATTACATACCCAAGGCTGTACAAAATGGAAAGAAACCCGGATTGAAACGTGTTCTTAAACATCGGAGTCAAATTCTGCAAATTAACACACAGAACTATTCGAATATAACTTCGAAATCAACTTGTATTATGTAATACAGATGAATATATATAAGGGATTATACCTTCAATGAAGAAACGGGACCGGTTGCGGGAGGAAAATAAGGGTTCTACAATAGACTTTGATTTAGGGGAATAGACCGGGCGAATCTTGACCCGGCTTGACTCCAAAATAAGTTAAACGGGTCGGGCTAATATTAATGTCAAAATCAAGACAAATATTCACGGGGTTAAATTAAATTCTTTTGGGTGGGGTTTTTTTTTTGGGGGTGGGGGTGAACAAGATGATAAGGAATAAGGGGTTATTTTGGTAACGGTTCATAAAAAATATATAATATATAATTTGAAAATAATGTATAAGTAATGTAATAACATGTATTTATAAAAAATACACTCTTCAAAATGGTAAAAAGAATGTATTGAAGGTTTGATGAAGAATTATATTTCCTATGATGCATGTATATGAAAAAAGGTATAGTAGGTCAAAAAAGTCTTGAAAAGGTTATTAGACTAGATACGACACATATTCAATTTATTGGGAACATAATTTTAAATAGAGATATGAAAATTTAGTTTATGGACAAGAGACAATTTTAAAAATTTACTCGATTTGAGGAAAATAAATCAAAAATAAAAATGAAAAGAAAAAATGTGAAAAATAGTAACAACAAATAATATGACAATAATCAAACAAAGAGAACATTTCATCAGTCATAAGTCATAGTGTTGTTTGTATTATTCGTGTCTTTTCATTTTCTTTCAACATGACTTATCCACCATGGTAGTTGATTTACATGTAAATGATTTTTGATGTGTTTTGCATGAGTCAATGGTATATTAAAAAAAAATATTTCTTTGCTTTTAAAGATAGATTTAAAGACGACAAACATGTTATTCTTTACAAATCTGCTTATTAAATTATAAAGACTATCGTGTGCTAATACTGATGCATCAACAATTCAAGAACAATATGAATCATATGCCCTAAAAAAATTGTACAACAAAGAGAATTTCAATATCAAATGATAAAATTGAGGATGTGAATAGATTGTCATGGAACTCGTCCACAAAGGGATGAACAAATCATTTTTTTTTTTGAGTTTTGATGTAGCTTTAATTTCAATTTACTTGTGAAATTCTGAACTATACCTCGTCTCTACTAACCCAGAAGAGAATGTTTTACTGAAAAAAAATATTATGTGTGTTCAAGATTAATACTATGTTTACATATGAATTCCTATATATTTACATTTCATTTAGACTTGAAAATCTATACTTGTGACCGAATCTACATTACATTATAGAAATTCATTATAATTGTCCATTAAATAAATTTACATTTTTTCAAATTTAGGAGCCTTTTCGAATTAGGTAAGTTAAAAGTCACACAATTTTGCTTAATCAATTGCTTTTAATATAACCACCAAGATATTTAATAAAGGTATCATACTAATAATCTCGTGACCGATGGTAGGCTATATGAAATCATCGAAAAACACACACTGTATATACATGATTAATTTAATAATGTACGAGTACATATTTAATAATGAACCTGCTTGGCATAAGCTAAAGACTTGGTTCATGATTTTGTCAAATCTTTTTGGTTCCGTGAATTTGAGTTTAGGTAGCATTATTTCTTATCACATTTTGGCTTGTTGCTGTTTCATATGTATTATTGTTCATGTTGACGTAAATTAAATTTTATCTAATTACTTATTTTTTACTCAACTGGTGTGTATAATTGATCTGAACAATTTATATGGGAATATTATTAGTGTGCTTATTTATATTTTTAACTCCTCAATGAAAAAATTGTCTCCCCTACAATATGTTGTTTTTGAGATTTTGATATTTTTATATTAATTAATGTTAAATGAGTTTTTTCTTGAAATCATTACAACTTTAATGAAAATTTTTTAAGTAGAAGTGAATATGTAGGGGCCCGTTTGGACCGGGCTTAATAAAAGCAGCTTTAAAAAAGTACTTTTAAAAGTGCTGAAACTTATTTTTAAAATAAGCAGTTATGCGTTTGGATAAAAGTGCTGAAGTTGTTATGTCAAACGTGAAAAGGGAAAAATGGAAGAAAGAAATGTTAGGGTTATATGGGTAATTTGGAGATTGTATAAAAATATTAAGCACAAAAAGATAAAAATGTGGTCAACTTAAAACAGCTTATAAGCTAAAAAAAAAAACCACCCCTACCCCAGCTTTTAACTTTTGGCTTAAAATAAGTTTTTTTAATTTAAAATAAATTGTTTTGAGTATTGTCAAATAGCTAAATAAATCAAAAAACAGTTTTTAAGTCAGTTTGACCAGCTTTTAAGCTGAGCCAAACAGACTCTAAGAAGCACTAACTCCAGATCTATGAAAAATACCTTTTCATTTTGAATAAGAGGTATATCAAAATTCGTGTCTTGAATATGACATGATCTTTAATTAATGGTTAACCTCAAAATAAATTAATTAAATTTCAAAGTATTTATCTAACATCAAATCCATTCTCTAAAAAATTACAATTCTTTAACAAACAACTTTATTTATTTTATACTAGTGGTTGATTAAACTTTTTTCCCCTCATTTACCAAAGATATAAACTAAGCATTAAGGAGAAGAGTGTGATATACTTTTAAATTTTGTCATTTAAAATTAATAGATCACGATTATATTATTTAGTATATATGTATATCTTTACCATCACACAAGTGGCTTATATATACATTTTCTTTTACACAAAGTGAAAAATAACAATTTAATTTTTATTTACTTTTAATTGAAAAAGAAATTCACGTGGGGTGTATTTGACCCTTCTCAAACTTTTTTTTTTCTTTTGACTGTTTTTATTCATCAACTAATTTGAATTTATTGTTTTGATAGTTAAGTTTATTTTTTTTACTTATCTTCTTGTAAAATTTATTATAAATGCCCTAAATTATAAAAAAATCAAATTACAATATAATCGCAAAAAATTAATTTATAAAACTTTTTAATCTCCTTTCTATTCACACTTTTTTCTTTTTATTTCTCTTAATTTATACTAAAGAATGAATGAAAATATAAAATAAGAATAAAAACTCAGACAATAACAACTAAAGAAGCCAGAAAATAATTGTTTGTGAAAATATCAAAGACATGACTTTTTTTTAAAAAAAAATTGAATTTTTTTTATATATATATATATATATTATAAAAATAAGAATATACGTGACCCAATTTTACCAGGATAGTCCATGGAATATATGTGTGTCATTATTTAAGCGAGACTCAGGGCCCGTTTGGTTATGGTATAAGAGGGCTTACTATTCATGTATAAAATATTGTATTAGTTTTATAATGTTTAGTAAATTTTTTTTATTAGGTTTTAAAGTTAACATGAATTATACTATGTTTGGTTGTATTTTTGTGGTCCTACATAATTAATACTAACATAACTTATGAGAAAATCTATGTATAAAGTTATACAGGGTAAAAAGTGAAATAAGTTATGCGGGTATTAGTTATACATGTATTAAAGTGATAAATTATATATTTACCCTATTAATTTATTTTATTATTTTCTTAATGGATACTTTATTATTTTCTTATATATAGGTTTGTTATTTTTATTTCTTTTTTATATTAACACCATTTTTATTTCTTTTATTTTTTTAATTGGAAACTTTATTGTTTCCTATCTTGTTTTATTTTTTATTGTATATAGAATATTTTCAATTCTTTTTTATATACTTATCATTTTGATTGATTTATGTAAATATAATATCTTTTTAATATTAAAAAGTTGTTTGATATTTTTTAACTGTATATATACTAATCAAATATTAATATTATATATTACTCAATATATTTCACATTTATTAGCATATATTATTATTTTGTAAATAATATATATTAATAATTTGCAATAAGTTTAATATTCAATAGTTAATAATTCATGTATTGTAATGACTAAATAATATCGACATAAATAATATTTACATAATTAATATCTGCGTAACTAAATCCTACCTAACTAATACCCGCATAACTAATATTCAAATAACAAAATCTTACATAACTATACCTACATAACTCCACCGATGAAACTTATTTGACATTTTATGCGAATTTTTTAATTTTATTTCTTCTTATATAAACCGTAACAGACCACATAAAAAAAGAGAAATTCTTCCGCGTTTTGCAAGAATTCTCAAGAAATCAAGAAGAGAGAACTCAAATTTTGTAGCTATAAAATACCCCTAAATTCCTTAAACCCCCATTTTCAGTCTCTGCTTCTCTCACACTCACACTGCAGTGTCTCTTTCGTTAGTGGAAATTTGAAAAAAGGAAGAAGAAAGAGGCTCTCAATCTTCAGTATGGTAAGCTATGTGTTGTCTTTATCTATTGGCAGTGCTTTCTTGAAGTGGTGCTAAGAAATAGGAACTTGTGTATTGAAAATCTTGAACTTCTTGTTTTTGCTATTTTACAGGATTTGTTTAGGCAGGCTATTCTTCGACAAGGGCCACCTGAAGAATTCGCTCTTCTAACTGTTCAAGAAGCTATAAAACCTCAGGTTTCTATATACACCCTTTTATCTTTTCTATGTGTGTGCCCTAATTTCTTGATTTCGTAAAACACAACACAAACAAATTCCTGAGATTGTTACTTCCAAGAAAAGAACTAAATCTCTTCTATATGTGTGCCCTAATTTCTCTTGCACAAAGAAATTCCTTACAAGAAAAGAACTAAGCTATACAAAGTTGTCCTACTTTATGTTTTGCATAAAACTGCTTCAAGATTGTGTAAATTTTCTTAAAGGGGAAGTGTTCTCTATGCTATTCACTTCTATTTCACTATTGAGTTGTTGGGAAGGTACTTTGGTCCTGTTAATACTACAAAAGAATGTTTTTGATCGGTGAATATGCTAGATTTTATCTCCGCTTTTAACCTTCATTCATTAAAGATTACAATTTCAACTCTTAGCTTTATTTCCCAAACTAATTAGGACACCTAGTTGCAAGATGTGGACTACATATGTATGTTTGTTGATCTATGTTTATTTGGAGGCATGTAATGCAACAGGTGTGTATATGCATCTTGTAATGTGTTATAGAGGTGTATCTGTATGTTTTCTAGTACCTTGACTGCTTGTGTAGATTAGAAGGAAAAACAAAAAAAACAAGACAAATTTGCATATAACGTATAGAGGAAAGTGAAACAGAACAAAGACAAATTATACAAATATTGTGGCAGATCAATGAAGATTCATGCAGTGGATCTCAAATAGTCAACGGTAATACATGTCCTTCACATTATTCACTTTTCTGAAGAACTAAGACCTGAAAGTGTTCAGTCACCAGATGTTGATATGGGCTAAAATTCATCGAACCCATTAGCTTTACCTGACAAAAAGCCTACCTTTTTCCTTTGTTTAGAGGTTGGGGTGCAGGAATGTTCAAGTTTAAACATAAGACCTTGCTCTCTGCTTTTGAATTGGACCTTTTGCAGTATTACAAGTAGTCTACCTTTTCTTTGATAGTGTTCCCCAAATGTATTGACTATGCCATTTCCCATTTATTGTGATGGTGACACATTTGTAGATTTTTCTGTTTTCTTGTTTGAGGTGCAGTATTCATTATATAGAAGTCCATTTTGTGCTACATAATAGTAGCTTATGTGATAAATTATTCATCTAGGTTTCTCTGAGTAGTTATGATTGAGATGTGTTTACTAATGTGAGGTTATTGCTATAGGGTTATATGTAGCCTATTGACTATTCTGGTCATCTGCAGAAGCAAACTAAGCTAGTCCAAGATGAGAATCAGCTGTTGGAAAATATTCTCAGGTCGCTACTTCAAGAATTGGTGGTATGTGTGATTTTTCTTAATGGGAATTGCATCATAATTTATGGAAACGTTGGTTGATGAAAATTGGACTTGGTAAATCATGGTGAATTGTAGTTTAGGGTGACTGGCAATCTCAAATTGTGACGCTGTTGACTAACTTATGGTTAGTCCCATCTCATTTGTGAGACTACTCTTTCCAGTTTCTTGATATTAAGGCTTTTTTGAACAGAGGTTTATCGGAAACAACCTCTTTACTCCGCAAAGGTAGGGGTATATTCAGCTTACATCCTACCCTCCCAGAACCCACTTGTGGGATTACACTGGGTATGTTGTTGTTGTTGTTGTAGGCTTTTTTCATATGTACTTTTTTTTAAAAAATAAGTAAACCTTTATATGTATTTAACAAAACAATTTCCAGTCTTAGATTTTTCCCTTGGTCTAAGTCAAAGTTATCAACCTTAGCTTTCTTAATTATGATCTTGTTCGGACCAGCTTGCGCACGTTGACTACTCCACCTTGTACCTGCTACTTCTGACCAACACGAGTATCAACTACTGTTGGGAAGAAAACAACGTACCCAGTGTAATCCCACAAGATGAATATGATCTTCACGCCCTGCCCTTTTTTTATTGGATTATTTTCATCTTCCCAGCTTCTATTGTCATCGTGTAGGCATATTTTCACTAAAACTTGCACATTCCAATGTGAGTCAATGTTCCACTAAATACATTCTTCTCATTAGAAGATAGATTTAGGGTAAACGAAAAATTGGCATTATTGTTCTAGGATTTGTTCACGTGATAAATTGCATGTACAGGGTAGTATTTTCGTCTATATTAGATATCCTTGATCTTGAATATTCCCTAATGAACATACAAAAGAGAAGTTTTGGAGGCTGAACTTAGAAAAGGACTAGTTGATAGGTCTATCGGTATAGTTTGAACAGTATTTGGCGGGTAAGTCCAAAAAATGGTATTTGTTAATGCATAAGTGTGATAAAAGACTATTTGTCTCAACTTATATAGTCAATAGTTTTTCTTTTTTGAGAAGGATATATAGGACAAGTTTATTTAACTTATATAGTCAAGACTCCACTAGGTTAGATGAAATGCACTGGCTCAACATCCAGGGCAAGTTGTGGTTGTGACTGGTTCAAGTAACAAATTGAAATGGAAAGAATACATCACAAATATTTACCAGAATACTTCTTAGGCAGTGGCTGATTTATCAGGAAATTCTGTAATTGTATCTCTCCTGCATTACAAGAAAAGCTGAAGCTGTTTCTTTCTTGTTCACAAGCTTTGTAAAGTTGGGAAAATATTCATGTTACCTTTTCATCATTTTTTCTTGTTTTCTTTTGAACTTCTCATCATTGGTCATGCTATTAAGTACTTTTCTGGGTAGCATGACCGTCTTCCGATTAGTGAATTTTCTTTATCCTGTCACAGGCTGCTGCAGTTCAGTCGGGGCAGAAACTCATGAAGTACGGAGTGTCAATTGTTGATGGTGAATCAAGTCAGGGTCAGATTCCCCGCCTTCTTGGTGAGTGTCTGGTAGCACTAACTATTTTACTGCATAGAAGACATATTTTATTAGCATGTTTCTTGGTCGCAGAATATTCAAAGTGTTTCACCTTAGAAGACATGAGGTATAAGATGTTATAACTCACAGATCAAGAAGCTAGTTGGAAAAAACAAACTAAAGAGGGTTGAATGGTAGATTTGAGAAGGATTGGTAGACTTCAATTCATCACTTCATATTTACATTCTGCCCAGAGTTCACTCCCAGGAATATACCCGTCCCTAGCCACTCACGTCTTTGGGATTCATCTGCCTCCAATCTTCTGAGTTCTTTTGAAATTTGAAGAATCATTTCTCTTAAGCTAAGGACTTGAGATATATTGTTTTTTTTCCATCTCGTAAGGTTGTCTATGTTCTTCTCTTTTGGTTATTATCAGGAAATTTTAAACCTTAAGACTCTTTAGTTGTAAATAGTACTGCTAAGAAACAAATTCATCTTATTGTTATACATCTAATGTTTACCCTAAAGGAAAAAAATCAGCTAAGATCACAGTTGTTGTAGCAGTAGAGGTAGAGCGATCTTGAATATGCCTTAATTGCTAATGGAATGGGTACATAATGCTAGGTGTAAAAATGTATACAACTAATATTTTGAAGTTGGATTTATAGAAGCCTATGAATTCTCTGGCTGATTCTCAGAGGAGTTGGTGTTGGTGAGATGCATTTATTATCTTAATCTTGTTTATAAAGCTATCATGGATAGCCACTTGTTCTTTCCTTGTAACATTTTCTTTTAATTTATTTATAGATATTGTTCTATATCTTTGTGAGAAAGAGCACGTCGAAGGTGGCATGATATTTCAACTTTTGGAAGATTTGACAGAAATGTCAACAATGAGAAATTGTGAGGACGTTTTTGGGTATATAGAGAGCAAACAAGACATATTGGGGAAGGTATGCATAATTATCGGCTGTTTCAGTTCTATGAATATATCTCGGTAAAAAAAAGTTCTATGAATATTTCTGACTTTTGTGATGGTATTAGTTTACTTTGTGCAGCAAATTCTTGTCATTTAAAATGTTCATGTTCATCATTTTGACATACAGCCAGAACTCTTTGCCCGGGGAAAGCTTGTTATGTTGAGGACGTGTAATCAGTTGCTTCGTCGTCTATCAAAGGTGCATAGTGTTTTGCATTTCTGCTTTGTCTATGTATTATATATCAGAAATATGTTCGTCTCTATTTGCACATCAATTCATCTGGTGCATGTCATGAAAATATATCTACTTGCAGCAATACAGGTCATTACTTATTGTCGATGCAAAAAAAGAGAAGTTTTTAGTATCCGGACAATGGCATTGCCCTTTGATTTAATTTATGATGGCAAAAAACTTCGTTTTGTTGTATTATACTAAAACTTTCCCTCGTTATTTGATTGAGGGGCTATTTTGGTTGTGCAAGTATTAATTCGAATCTCTGATCTATTTCCTAATGATCAAGAGTTAAAGTTCAATTTAGTTTGTAATGGAATTCTTTGACAAAGGTAATAGTTATACTGTGCTGGGAACAGTATTTACAGTTCAAAAAGCACAACCGAACGTGATCCTTGATCTTCTCACAAGTATTCAAAATGTCTAATAGAGAGTTTACGTCTTCCATGAGTTTTTTTGCACTACAAGTGAATAAAAGAATATAATTCATCTCGATTTTCTGTTTTGGGCTGCTACATTCTTCAAAACATCTCGCGTTTCTTTCCTTCCGCATATCATGGAACTTTTTTTTTGTGGGGGTGTTTTGTTCATTATAGAGCTAAAGAAGAGATATGTATGTAGTATTGTGCTGTCTTGTGCTGTTTATTTGTTTTTATCTTGTGCTGTTTATTTGTTTTTGTCTTGTGCTGTTTATTTGTTTTGCCCTGTCTTTCTGGAGAATGACATTATTGATGAAGATGTAATATATAGGAATAATAAGGATGCTCATAATGGACCAGTGCTATTAATATAAATCCAATTGCTTTTTTTATACATGTAATGAGGATGAATTGAACCCAATAAAATCAACTCCTTGAAAACAAAAAACTCGGAGAAAGACTCTAATAGTGCATTCCCCTTTACTTGGTAGGGCTTGAAAGACTGGACAACTTCTTTTCCTTTCCTATCTCATACTTTTAATTCAAGCTGAAATAGGAAAACTGCTAGCAACACTAGGCCCAGTGTTTAATTTCGCAAGTAGAGGGGACATTAAGAGGGGCTTGTCCAGTCATGATTATAATCTGGCCCAAAAAAAAACTTGGAGGCTAGTGTCATAGAAGAGATAGTGACCAAGAGATTTCTCTTTTAGAGTTTGAGTCGCCGACTGAAGCAATCAGAGTAAATGTTGGGGAATGCCGACAAAGAGGACACATTATTAGTCTCTTAGTCTCTCTGAATAGATGCCGTTGTCTACCTATCTGGAACTTCAGTTAACTAGAATGTTTAGTTAGATTTGGAGAACTTTTCCTGCACATCTACGGTTGGAAAGTGATTGTTAGAAATATTTGTGCCTTGATTCAAAGATGGAGACGAAAGCCCATTGGTAGTCGTTGCTTGCATCACCTTTTTGATACGTGATGTTTTAATGTTAGGCAATCTATATTTTCATGAAATAAAAATATTATTATATTCAAGCCAATTCAACTATCAGGGGTCAATTAAATTCAAATTTCGCTGTATTTCATTCCTTTACATGGCTGGTAAAACCTGAACAATACTTGTTGGGTACCAGTTATCTTCTCTCTTAGTAAACAAACTGTTCCAGTATTTTCCTGGCTTAACATCTTGTATTGCAGGCAAATGATGTTGTTTTCTGTGGGCGCATTATCATGTTTCTAGCTCACTTCTTCCCCTTATCTGAGCGTTCTGGTATTTAGTTTTCTCTCTCTATATGTGGTTGGATCGCCTGTTTGTATATTGGTGCTAATCTGTTTGCTCAAATTCCTACAGCTGTAAATATAAAGGGTGTTTTCAATACATCGAATGAGACAAAGTATGAGACAGAAGTTCCTGATGGTAGGCATCTTTCCCTTCACTTTCTTGCAGATTTGGTTTTGCACTTTTTTAATGCTAACAGTGCATCAACTTGTTTGGTTTCAGGTATTTCTATTGATTTCAACTTTTATAGAACACTTTGGAGTCTACAGGTTGGTATCAGGTGTTTTGTTCTTTTAGGGGAATACTTTCGATTAGCAAAGTCTGTTAGATAAGCATCCTTAAAAACCTAACATCATGAGATTATTTCTGCATTTCCTGGTTACCCAGTTGCTTTCATACTCGTTACTTCTGAAGAAGTGTCACAGAGTGCTCTTTTACAATTTTAGTGGGAGCTGGAGGTCCTGATATAACTTCTAAAGAATTTACCGCTAAATGTATAAAAATAAAGCATTTCTTTGAATCCATTCCAAGTTTTGCTGTTGATTATCATACTGAATCATGAGGTGCAACCTCTATCACCAAAGCAGCAACACAATATTTATTACAAATGAAGTCATCAGGATGTCTTTGTAACATTGAAATCCTAGTTGATGCTATAGATGAAGTTCAGAGATGAGACTGTTGGTGAGAAACCAGAGGGACAAAGAATTGTTAGTAAACATAGAAGACAAGGAAATAAAAGAATGGATGTATATTTTATGTTATATAAATATATAGACCGGGGCGGGTGGGGAAAATATTTGTGTAAAAGAGAACAAATGCACCTGAACTGGAAGGTTAGGGTTTCTTTGATGTTGATATTACTGCAAAAATGCAGTTTGGGTTTTATGATGATATTACAACATGAAGTAAATTAGAAATGACAAAAGATAGCCATATTTGGCATGTAGTTAGGCTTCAGGGCTTGATCTTGCGTTAAAAGTACGTACAAGCTGGCTGTAGTTTGAGAAGAAGTGATTTGAGCTAAACCAATGTCTGGGTAGCACAACAACCTACTAAAATCCTGCAGCAAAGTTGCAGATTTGTACCTATTGCATAGCGCCATGGTTTTATAGCATACTATCACCATTTGGTGAGAGTGGTAATTCTGATTGTGGATTAGTGGATTCATGGATTATTTCGTATTAAATTTGCTTTTATTAATAGGTATTGGTAAATATTTTAAAAATCGACCCCTCCCCCCAAGAAAGAATCTTTCAAGAAGTATAAAAAGACTTAGTAACCAAATCATGTCCTCTGTGGAAATGATATCATCACTATAAATGGCTATAGAAAATGTTACGAACTCTATGGACATAATTTAATCACTTCAATTGGCTTATTTTAAATTCTGATTTGTTGGTGCTGTAGATGCAATCCCTGTTTCAATTGCATATTCCCTTTTCTCAGTTCCTTCTGTCATAATATCTGAAGGAGGTTCTCTTTGGATATGTCCATTATCATTTGCCATTTCATAATCGTTTCTTCTCAATTTCATGTTTTGCGGTTGCATTACCTTGAATACAAGATTAAAAAGGAATATGTGATTTAGGTCCTTCAAGTGGCTTATAAATGCTTTGCAGTGGGAACTTTAACTTTTGTTGTAAAATTCCTCCACTAGCATGCTTGAGGTATGAGTAGCCATCTTACACTTATGCTGCATTGACTACCCAGTGACCTCTATCGTCACACGCAATGCAAATAGTGGGTACTTGGTCATCTGTGTTGTATTGTTTTCTAAATCTAGTGCAGCCCAGTTAGGTACATCCCTTAGAATCAGCTGTTTCCTGATGAAGATGAAGGCCTGATAAAGTGCCTATTTGATGTCTCTACCACTACCTATGTGTATTGACCTTCGATTCGTAGAAGTTAAAGCTGTAGCTTAGTTTGAATAGTCTCCTTCACAGATGTGAGAACACATTTCTATGTAGTTTTTTTTCATTTTTATTTGTCTTTCTAATAGGAGGTAAGAACAGCAATTTATGGATCAAGTGAAAGAGAAACTCGTGGAGCCGAAGTGGGGTGAGAGAAGGCAAAGAGAAACCCATTAAAATCCAGTAACTATTAGTGTCCAGAAGTTTGTTTAGCAAGGAGTTAGGTTGCTTTTAGCAAAGCATAAGCTAGAAAACCTTCCTTATGTAGTATTTCCTTAAAGTTACGGGGAGATATAAAGGAAACTGATACAACCATGTTCTAGCTCTTTGATTCTGTCAAAATTGATTCCCGACCCCCAAAAGAAACGGATGTAAGCAAAGAGATACTGTCAAACTTAAATTTGAAATTATCTCCCTATACTCTTCTAAAGCAGTCATGTTTGATAATTAATAAGAGTGGCACATCAGATTACGGTGATAGGGGGTCGTCTCTTGTTGAATTCAGACAATCTTTATTTATGTATGAATCACTGCATTTGAAGTATCTCTGATAAGCTCTGGGCATGTGCTTCCCCCAGCTTCCTGTCTTGTTTAGTAATTTTTTTAGCTTTGCTAACTTAGGAATACTTCTGCAATCCACCATCCTTGATTAATGCTCCCGGCAAGTGGCACAAATTTACATCCAGTTTGACGGTACACCTCTTTGTCTGTTAAAATTCTTTGTGATGTTTCTGTTGCTGTTTTTTTCATTTACCATATGTAATGTGTGATCAATTATTCTTTGGGTCTTGCAGCTTGTTCTAAACACTTTCGAGGCTCAGCCTTTAAGTGATGAAGAGGGAAATGCTCATAACCTTGAGGATGATGCTGCAACCTTCAACATAAAATATCTTACAAGCAGTAAACTTATGGGTCTCGAGGTATGGGAGCATTTCCCAATTTTGAAGGCTCTTTTTAAGCAAAAAAGTAGCAAACCCAATAGCATATTCCTGATCATTCTTTTTGTCTCAGCTGAAAGATCCTAGTTTCAGGCGCCACGTTCTGGTTCAGTGCCTCATTCTGTTCGACTATTTGAAGGTAATGATAAGCATGTTGTTAGTTTGAGTTCAAAGTGCAAGTGGATCTTTTAGTAGTAATGTCACCTTCCAACATTAGTTGAAGTTCAGTAAATATATTTATTTTTTTTACAAATTCCAAAAATACTATTGACTGAACTTCAACTAAAGTTGGAAGGTTTTTTCTACTTGAAATTCACATTATCAAAACATCAAATTCAGGTGCATATCTTTGATTTCGATCAGGATCATGACAATCCAATGTTTGATAATCATTAAGTTGAAGATTCTCTAATATACGGTGTCAGTAGGATTCTTAAATGTCTTCGGAGTGGTGTAACATTGGAGAAGAGAGCTAATGAAAACGTGCAAAACGTGCCAAACTTTGTCTCTGCTGGAGTTTTGCTGAGGGAAGCTGTGAGAGTAAAGTTAGCCGAGGGAAGGAGAAGGAAAAACTTTGTAGTTAACTGATAGAGAGGAAACAGTAGATTACGTGGTTTGTAACTTATCTAGAAAGATCTCCTATTGATCTAGTCTCTTGTCATGATGGGGTCATTTGGCTATGACCTACATGTTTGACCATTAGTTTTTGTCCATTATGTCAACTTCCCCTTGAAATAGGGAATTTGAAGTTGAAAGCTTGTTTAAGCATGTCAAGTTAAATAATGGTCCGCTCACAAAACTTCAAGTTGTTTTAAGCGAAATTTATGACAAAACACAACCTCAACTTGCAAATACTTTTTCTTTTTTAAAACTTCAACTGAATAGTGTCCAAACTTCTACTTGTTCGTTATCATGCAGGCACCAGGGAAAAGTGAGAAGGAATTGCCCTCTGAAGCAATGGTTGGTATTGCCTTTGTTGTTTATTTCATTTCATGCCGTATCAGTTTTTTAGTGGTCCTTGATTCCTGCCATTGCTCTCCCTTTGTGAATATATATGTATATATAAAATATAGCACACACACTGATGCATATCGAGATACTTGCGCAAGGGTTTGCCTAGGCGTGAAAGTAAAACTGTTTCACATAACTGTTCGGAAGGACTACTCTTTAATCTTTATATGCTCCTTCCAAAAGAAAACCAGGGAATAAATGAGGCCTTTGCTCTTTAACTTATGTTCTGATAGAAGTTCTCTGAAGGAAACCTTGCAACTGTTAACAGAAGTGATTCTCTATTACAATCTTTAGACTGCTCTTTTCTAGAATGTTGCAAGTTGCAACAGAATTCATGATGATATAACTGATGTTCTTAATATACAATGTTGTGGATAATGAAGAGTATTATTTATGGTAATTTTTGATGTTGCGTATATCTGGGCTACATGTCCTTTCATAAGTTCTTTTCCCTGTTCTATTCTTTACTTCATTCTCATTAGCAAGTGTTATCTTTTGCCTGAACGGGAACCTGTTGTTCCTACATATTTTTTTTCTTTCAAGTGGAAGAATGAGAAAGTAGAACCCACCATTAGGTGGATTGCTATTCTATGGAACAAATACACGCCTAACACAAAAAAATTACTCTCATCCTGTCTCAGAACCACAGCTATCAAGAGAAAACAGAGGGTGGGGTGGAGTGTGGGGAATAATCTTATATAAGTATAAAACTGCTTTCTGGAGAAGAGGACCCATTACCTCAATGATTTGACTTCTCCACTTAAGCAAGGGGCTCATCAATAACATGTCTCAACGCATTGGAAACAATAAAATGATAGCACGTACCTTATTTGGTGCACGTCTTAGGGTGGAAATGGGGTCATGGCATATTCTGGTTAATTTGTGATCATATCTCATTTTATAAATAGATCTTATGGTAAAGAGAAAATGCCATCTCGTTTGTTTCTTTCAACCATTTTGAAGTTCTTGCAGATACAGTGCTGCAGAAGTAGGGATTGATATTTTGTTAGTGATTGCTAGTTTGCAAGTCAAGATGCTTGTGTTTTTGTACCTTATAGAGAAAATAGTTGATCATTTATTGCTGAACATAGCTTTATGTTAACTGGGGAGTCCCTATGGTCACTTACATAATGTAATCATCATGTGCACATCATGGAGTCTAAATGCCTGTCCAACATCGGCTAGGGCGTTCAGTTGAGGTGCCGCAAAGCTCACTACGATGAATATTTGCACACAGAGCATTGTGCTGTACCTCAGCAACAAGCTAATTTTGTTTCCTCAAAATTGTAGAAGGAGGAAATAAAGACTAGTGAAGAGCGGGCAAAGAAGCTTCTTGAAATGACTCCACCCAAAGGCATAGATTTCCTCCGCAGTATTGAGCACATTTTGGAGCGTGAAAGGAATTGGGTAAGCATCGGTTTTCTCTCTTTTTTTGCTCTCTCATGCAGGAGATCTTAGACATTTGTGAGGATACTAGAAGCAATGTGTTTATGTATAACTTATCTAAAATATTCTTCTTCATTCTTTTCCTTATACATTTCTCTATTTTCTATTTATTGGTTGGCTTATTATGCTTAATATTCTTCTTCACTCTTCTCCTTGTACATTTTTCTATTTATTTACTGATTGACTTATTATGCTGTGTGGATGATGGTTTTTCCATAGGTTTGGTGGAAACGTGATGGCTGCCCCCCATTTGAGAAGCAACCGGTAGAGAAAAAGCTGGTTCAAGATGGAACCAAAAAACGGTATCTAAGTTATAAGTTAGCATGTACTGTTTCTTTTAATCCTTGCCTCAGTGTAATAGCAAAAGTGGAGTCCGTGGAGGGTAGAGTGTACTCAAACCTTAAAGCCACCTCATTGAGGTAGAGAGTCCGTCTTCCGGAGACAGCCTTACAACGTATAATATATTGGTGAAAATATCCAGATCATATGTTTTTTTCTTAGTTTTGCATTTCTCTCACATTAGAAAAATTAATTTGTTAACAAGAATGAAAGTGCATTGGAGAACCATGTGTCCTCTAGTGACTCTAAGAAAATGATAAGTAATGAAAAGTTCAAAAAGCAGTAGGCCTATCCCTGTGAAGATCCAACAACTCCACTCTAGAATACAATCCTTCTGCAAGCACCACAGCAGTTCGTAGAGAACTATTCCATTCCAAGCTCAGGCAGGATGAGTACTTCCGTTCAGGAATCTTTAGCATTATGGTGAAGCTTAATGCACCACTCAACAGACAGCATAAAGTTTTGTTTAGAGCTTCTTACCTTTAGTCCATGTTACATGAGTCCTTCATTTGCTTGATGTATCTGTCTTTGAACGAGTGTGATATGTGTAGTATTTCATGCGAATTCCTTAAAATATCCTAAAAATTTAGCAAAAAAACTTGACAGACATGTACCAAATACTTCCATATGCCATACTGAATACGCAGCATATTGAAATCCATGTAAGATGGCCTTTATACAACCAAAGTTGCGAATTTGACTAGAAAGTTTCACATGCTTTTGCCATGATACAAGAAATCTCCTCCATGGTTTTCTTGCACGAGTGTAGACTAGTGTGAACTACGGACCATGTGAAAAAGTGTATCAACTTACTGTAATGGAAGTCAGCCAACATAGATTTCTGCTACTAAAATACTCGGTTTTCCTTGTGTGATCGGAATCCTTGTAAGTTGTAGTTCTTAAATCCAATGCTGAAGGTTATACTCCCTCCATCCCAATTTTTATGACACACTTTCCTTTCTAGTTAGTTCCAAAAATAATGACTTATTTCTATATTTTAGTAGCTATTCAACTTAAACATGCCCATTTTACCCTAAACGAGATGATTTATAGCCACACAAACAGCTATGACTCATTTTAGACTACAAGTTTCAAAAGTCCTTTTTTCCTTAAACTCCATACGAGTTACCTTATTAAAAAAATGAATTCCGTGCCAAATGAAACAATATCACATAAATTGGGTCGGAGTAGTACTATTTACTCAACAGTTTGTAAATATTTCAATTTTGGGAATTTTAGTTGGTTTGTGATATTTGGTGCTTTTGAACTGTATAATTTGTTTTAAAATTACTAATTACTATGTATGCATATCACATTCTGTTGTAGATGATGTCATTCAGCTGTCTTCCAGCAATTTGAATTGTGCTTTCTCAAATCCTGTTGGGTACAAGACATATTGTTTGCTAAATTGTGCCCTTATGGCCTATTTCACCTGAACACATTGCAGACTCATCTGCGGGAAATAGTTGTTTATCGCACCCTCAGCAGCCTATGTAACCAAATAGCAACACAAAGTTCGGTATTCTGCCTTGAGAAGCCAAGGAGAATAAATAAATATGTTTAGTCATCTTTTCAAGAATTCAAACTGCTGCTGTTTTTCGTCCCCTTTTACCCATAACTTAGATGATACTTAACCATATTCTTTTTGCCTTGCAGTCGGACACGATGGAGTCTTGGAAACAAAGAACTCTCCCAACTGTGGAAATGGGCTGATCAGTATTCGGTTTGTTTTTCATTAACTTAGTACTTGCTTCTTGCATGAGTCTTGTGTAGCAAGATATTTATCACATTAGTTTTCTGTGGCTCTGTATGAGAAACTTACTGATATTATCACTATGATATACAAAATCATTAGAACTCTTTCATTGACAAATAATTCTAATCATAGATGAGATTAACAATGAACCTATGAGTATGACAATAGTACCAGTGAGTAGATGTGTAATGGGCTTGCTTGTAATTGATGGTCTCCATGGACTTGTGAAAACCAAATATCCTCTCATAAGCACCATGAACTGTATGAACGGTATACACACTGAACACGTTTAAGTACTCGTTAGATTTGTTGCGTGATTAAGATATGAATGCTTATTTCTGGCTTTAATGTAAAACAATGAAGTAAAATTAAGATTAAAATACTTTTATCTTTTTATAATTGAAAATTGTTTTATTGTTCTTCACATTGAGATGATGTCCGCTGTACAAAAGGTATGACATCAATCATACCGAAAGATTTATCCCAACTATCTATACCAGAAAAAATGTTCTTGTTACCCCCAAGAAATACGAATGAACAAGATCTCCGTTTTGTCTATACTGGTCTCGGCACTTATTTAGAACTATTTCTTTTCTCATCGATCACTGACAACTTTCATTTATTCTTTTATATCTATAGTAACTTATATTATAAGCATAAAATCGTCAACATGAGTTGTGATAAAGTAGCGGACTATTATATTTTAGTTAGAAGTGTTAACTGACCACTTTTGTAAGTAATACCTTTGCCCTTGTGTTCAAGAGAATCCAAACAACTATTGCAGGTTTAACATCTGGCTAATACACTATCAACTTGTTTCACAATCTTCTGGCATATGCTGGATTGTTTAGAATATGCTAAGGTCCACAGTTCTGTTGCAAATTACACTATAGGAAATGATCCGCATCCTTTACATGCATTTTGTACACACAACACCGGTTCATACTGTAGTGTGTGCCAGCGTAATCCCTTCGATGAGACGACACCCGATAAGAAATGGTGTGTTCCAAAATTGATGTCAGTTTCAGATATGCGCACTCTTACTCAATTTCTCACTAACAACCTGTTAGCCTTTCATTCTTTCATTCTAATTATTCCATGACTTTTAACCTTTACCTTTTAAAAATAATAATTATTCCATGACTTGAAATCTGTATTATCCGAAAAACTAAAAATATGAATTCGTAGTTTCTAACATGTCTTATCCAAGGCATCTTGACTCTGAAGAAGACAGCTTATCATTTTGACGTTGAATGCTACTGACATAAACATCTCTTTTATGTCTTCCTCCAGGGTGCTTTAACTGATGCTGAACGGGTGGCCACTCCTGCTATCACAAAGTACTGGAAACCTCTGGCAGAAGATGTAAGCGTCCATTAATTCTCTTTTAGAAAGCTACTTTTGCAGTAGATAACAGCAACATACCTAGTGTAATCCCACAAGTGGACAACTTCTGGAGAAGATGTTCCCTCTAATGTCTACTTCGTGTTAGTCCCTTTGCTGCGGTAGGAACAGGTGTCTTTGTAGTATTTCCTTGATTTCTGAGTTTGATTTTATCTCTTCTGATCTGATAGATGGATGAATCTGCTGGAATAGAAGCAGAATACCATCACAAAAACAATCGGGTTAGTCTCTTCATCTTTTCTGCTTGGTTTTCTTCCTACACTTATTACCACCATGGCATTTTGTTCTTGGTTACAGCTCAAATGACCTTTTATTTCCAACAATGGCATTTTTAAGAAGACATCGTAGCAACAGAATTCTAGCTGACTCCGATTCATTTCACTGAAATTTTAGGAGTCATTTTTATCATAATCATCTATACTAATGCCGAACTGATCAACTCATAACGAAGTATATATGCACGCAAGTAGCTGAAGGCTTAAACTCATTCAAGAGATTATAAAAAGTATCTGAAGCTCATTTACATTAGAATATAAAAGAACTGTGGCCATATATTTATCTCTACATATATGCAGGGCAGACACCTAATAATAAAATATACAGGACTTGTATAACCCTCAAAGCTGGACGAAGTAAAGATTTTGCATCAGAAAAAAAAAGTTGAAAACAGCTTTCTCAGTTAAAAAGAGATAAGGAAAAGGTTTGTCTCGATATAAAGATATAGCTGATAGTTCATAACATTCAGTGAGAACAGAAGTCGCGTACTTTTGATTCCATGCTGTCATGTTTTGGTGCTACACCCTTGAATTATTCTTAAGTTGTCGTTTTATTCCATCACATGATCAACTCTTGCCCCTTTACACTATGTTTGAATCATTGTTATCCATTGTATTGTATTGTATCGTTATTATACCTACAAGGTTTGTTTTGATTGTTAATTAAAATGTATTGTATTGTTAAATTTCATTGTTACGTAACAATGAAAACCCCTATTTTATGGAACAACCAATTTGGTGTGTTCACATTGTTACTTAATTTCTTTTTCTAGTTATATATTTACATAATATTTCAAAATATTATTTTACTCTTAATTATTTAAATCTAGTCAAAACCTCCTACCCTAGAATAATTAAGGATATTTTAGTAAATATATAAATTACAATACAGTACGATACGATCAAACCAAACAATTAAAATGTTGCTAAACAACAACAAACAATACAGTCTAGCCAAAAATTGTATCTATCATACAATAAAGTACAGTACAATACAATACATTATGAAACAATGGGTAACAATGATCCAAACAAAGTGTTAGTTTCTAAACAGTAATTAAGTGGCACGTGCTAAATTCATTGCAATAGTAGTTGCTTAAGAGCAATCTGTAGTAGTTCCTCTAAATTTATTTACTTGTTTCCTTTTTGCTCCTACAAAATTCATGTAGGTTACTTTTTAGTCTTTTCACTTGTGAGTCCATCCAGAGTGACTAAAAGTGTTCTTTGCATTCTATTGAACAACATCAACAAGGTCTTCAACTTGCCATTCATAAACCCAGACCAAGAGCCATATAGTTGGTGTGAGAAAGAAGGTAGAAGATAATGTTTTTTGCTATTAGATAAATTTTGGCTTACTTGAAGATGGATATCATAGAGAGGCCCAGATGACGTAGTCTGAATTAAATAATTGATGGAGATTACAAATGCAGAAACTGAGATTTATGTGAGAAGGATAAGTTCATGGGACAGTCTCAATATTTCTTGATAATCTTGCTCTTCTCCAGACCATGGAGGTCAATAAAGTCATCCTGGAAGTTTTATTTCTCAACCCATGAGGGAGTAGTCACATCACTGTTCAACTCCACTTATCAGCCCAGAGGGGATAAATGAGTCTTATGCTTGAATATGAAGGATTAAAGCGCTGGATACTTGATTGATTTATTATAACTTCTATTTCTTTTAATTCTGTACTATAAATTCTTCAGGTATTCGTTGTAAGTGTAAACCGTAGACATTTTGTTCAACAAGTGTAGACTCTACATATATGAGCTTCACAGGAGTAGCTAGTCATAGAAGAGGCATATTCTTGCAGTAGACTGACAGCCACTTAAGAATCAAATTAGAATGGAGCTGAATTAATACAGAGAATGCATGTAGTCATACTTCAACTAGTTTGGGGTTGAGTTTTCATCAGAAGTGTTCTTCCCTCAGGGGTGAGAACCCGTATATGTTCTATCATATGAGCACACCTAATAGTTCACACTCTCAGCTAAAGACGAGTATTCCCAATACTGCTGTTCATTTGTTGGGATAGTGTGGTGATCAAACATACATGATACACCTTCTAGGCAGGTGTAATAAGGATATTTGTTCTCGTGCCATCTGGAAGATGGCACATATAGCAGTAGGTAATATGTTATATATAAAGTATAATGGATAACTCATGGAGAAAATTGTTGTGTTGATATCATGGTACATCTTTATGCCTGCTTCCGGTGCATATTTCTTTGACTTCTCTTCGTTGGGTGCATGTTGTAATGATATCCTGGGATCTATTCAGGTCTATTGTTGGAAAGGTTTGCGGTTTTCAGCCCGGCAAGACTTGGAAGGATTTTCCAGAGTAAGAGCTAATTTATGGGTGTGATTTCAAGTCTTCATCATTAAATGTTTATAAATTCTCAATGCAATATGTTATTGTTATTTCTCAGTTTACAGAACATGGTATTGAGGGGGTAGTGCCTCTGGAGCTTTTGCCTAATGAAGTTCGGGCCAAATATCAAGCTAAACCAAGCGAAAGGACTAAGCGGACGAAGAAGGAGGACACAAAAAACTCAGCACAACAAGCAGAAGAAAATCAGGTACCTGAAAGAGAACGTAACCTTACGTTTGCTTATGTTCTCAGTTTCCGTTTCTTTTCCTGCAAGTTAATCCCTGTGGCAGTTCTGTGCTGACTTGAAGATAGTAAGTGGCTTCACCATTAGACTCGAGCATTTTTCTGTGTTTGAAATTTCCCCAGGTTTTCATGCACTATGTGCCACTTGGTCTGCACACAATATAAATAACATTAAAACATTCACATTTGTCAAAAGCTCACCAAATAAGAATGTATAACTTCAATTATGTAACAATTTTTTTATCGCCTTCTATAGTTCGTTCTGGCCTGTCTTGGTTTTAAATTAGAATAGAGATTGTACTTGAGAATGGTGAAACAAATACAATTTCTTAGGATTTCTAATTCATTGTTCCTCCTCCTTTTCTTCTCTTAATGGTTCTTTTCGTTTAATCTTGTCTAGATTGCAACACCACCAAGTGAGATGGACAATGAAGTGGGCAGAGCGGATCCTGAAGCATCTGCTGCTCCCATGGATACAGATGCAGGAATAGCTACTGTTAACATATGTCAGGAAGAAACTCCTACTCCGGAGGATAACCAGAAGCAAAGCTCTGACACAGATGTTGCTCAAGAAGCAGGGCAGATTGAAGCAGACACAGAAGCAGAGACGGGGATGATTGATGGAGAAACAGATGCAGAAGATCTAGATACAGCAGGATAATCCAAGTGTGTATTGGATTGTGCACCATGCCGGTGTAACTTGTGTCAACAATCCACTTAATCTGGGCTCAATTTGTACCATGTAACTTAAGTCAGTTGCTTAAGAAGCTTGACAGCAAAAAAAAAAATAAATTAAAAATTACACAATTTAGAATTAATTACACATTTTTGCATAGATCTTAATTGTTGAGAGGTGGGATTTGTTGCAAGTGAGATTGAAGGATGGGTGTTGTGTATTAAATTATTAATAATACCTCTTTTTATGTTGTTTGGTTGATTACGCAAGTTCTATTTCTTGTTGATACTCTATTATGTAATAATTGTCTTAGATTAAGCAAGTTTTTCAAATTTAAGTTTAATTATGATTATTCGGCAGAGTTCCTAAGTTATTCAACTGAGTCTAATATAACATGAAATCCTACTAATTTGACATGACTTGCATGCCACTGTTGTGACACATCATATCTAGATACGTTGAAGCTATAATAAGATCGATCTAGCATGATTTGTATGTCTATTGTCGCTATTATTTCCCCTGTCTTTTGACTTGGATTTTTCTTATTAATCTTGATGGCATTTTCGTATAAATATCAAATCTAAAGACTATTCAAATACCAGGGGTAAAGATATCCCTTTTGTACAAACTACCCTTATTATTTGTGTGCCCTTCAAATGAGATAATCTTTAATTTTTATTCTTAGTAATCGAACTTATCTCTAGCGAGATGTTATTTATGAGATATTAATGATATAAAAACATAAACTTTTATCTCAGGTGAAAAAATTATTTAACTTAATGTATAAAATTAAAGGACAACATGAAATAGGTCTAAAATAGCAAATGACCTATAATAATGTCCCGTTAACTTCATGGAGCTATAGCAACTTTAAAAAATAATTGACTATTATTTTTGAAAAAATTATTTGAATGGATATCTTTTAATAAATAATTACTGATTTTAGCGATACAATTTTTTTTACCATTTATAGCATTACATAATAATACTATGTTAAATCTGCAATATGCATTAAAAGTGAATTATATATGCACTAAATATGTATTATAATTGTTATTTGAAGTATGGTAAGAATTTCACACGTTGTATTATAAGTTAAATAAAATGTGTGATAAATGTATTATCCATCAATAAAATTTATATTATATGTGAATAATAAATTGCTTTTCTTGTAATTATAAATTAATCAAAAGTAATCAAGTGAAAAAAATATTATTATCATAGTTATTTTAGTATATTTATGTAACTTCCCACCATTTTTTTTTCTTTAGTTTTTGTAGATACAATTTAAATAGTAGTAGCATAAGAAGGGCCATTTGTGACAATGTATCCAAAGCCCAGTTTGTTAACCCAAACCCGAAAGAAACAAAATAAAACCCTAGCTAGGTTACGGTATATAAAAAAAAGACGGAGTAATTACAGAAGCTTCCCAGTGCTAGAAGTTTAAGCAGCCCTCTTCGCCGTCGCAGAATTCTGAGCATTTTCTCTCCACTCTCAGGTAATCTTCATGACTACTGTAAATTGGGTGGTTTTTTTTTTGTGTAGTCTAATGGAAAAATGGCTTGTTTTTGTGCAGAAAGATGGCAGCATATGCAGCAATGAAGCCAACCAAGCCTGGGCTTGAGGAGCCTGCAGAGATGATTCACAAGATTAGGATCACTCTCTCCTCCAAGAACGTTAAGAATCTCGAGAAAGGTAACCCCTTGTGCTTCTTTTATGTACTAATGTTTGTTTCTTCAATGACATACGTATTTGATTGTTCTGTTTATATGAAACTTATTTAGATCCGTTAGTAGGGATGGTCTTTTGTTGTTATATGTCAATTTAGCCCCAATAACTAGGGTTTAAGTTTTGATTTTTGATCTAGACTTAACGAGTAGAATTAGTTTGTATAGTAGAGTAATGAAGCTTGTATGACTTGACTATTGTGATACTGCTAGTTCAGCCATTATAATCCCAGATGCATTGTTCTCTAAAAAATCAACTGATTGTGCTGAGCTCAGTCGTTAGTCAACATAATAGATTTTGAAGCCTTTCGTAGTTCTGTTTCAATTTTGGATTATTGCAAATTAAATTATTTAATTGGCCTATGATTTTCTGTTTCCTCGTTATTTGTTGTGCATCTATTATATGGGTTCCTATGGCCACTATTTAGTCTCATTATTCATTATCACTGGGTTTGAATTTAATGCTGAATATAAAATTAGCTTTTATCTTAAAAGATACAGATTGTGATTTTGTTTACCATGATGAAACATGTAATATGTGCCTTAATGAATGCTACAATTACATTTTGAAGCATTCTGTTTCAGATACATTGCTTGAAACTTTTTTGATTGTTTACTTGTGGTTGTGTTTTCCTGTTTCATATCATTTAATAAGAAGTATGCTCACTCTCTTTTGACCTGATTTGAATCTTTTAGTGTGCGCTGATTTGGTTCGTGGTGCCAAGGATAAGAGGCTCAGGGTGAAGGGACCAGTGAGAATGCCCACAAAGGTCCTTAACATCACCACTAGAAAGTCTCCTTGTGGAGAAGGTACTACTGTTCCATACATTTATTGTTTTGTACTAGAGCTTGTGTTGTCAAGAAGTACATTTAGTAGACATTTGTTTAGTTTGAACTGTTTACATTGTATACTGGAAGATGTATTAGTTTGTGATTTATAGGATTATGAATGAACTTGTGTTTCGATATGTGTTTGGTTGATAACTTATGTTGGGTGCTAACCACCACCATGAACAATGAAAATAGATATTGAAAGCTTGAGCTGTGTTTGGGTCAGAAAAACTATTCATTTGATCCCCATTCAACCATATGGCAGGAATCTTCCACTCTGTTAACCCAATCCCACAAGCCACATTTCCATTACATCCACTCGTTGTACAATTCAAGGGCATGTTGTCGCCTGTCTTGAATGATTTTATTTTTGTTGCTGATACCCCATCTCCTGCTAGTTTCTCTTTTTGAAAGCTCATATTCTCTGTCTTGGAAGCTAGCTTGCAGAATCTATGTAGTTGGTTTTGCTTCATTATATTGATCTGTGATATCATCAGTAAACAATTGTGTATTGTAGGAGATTTATTGTCTGTGAAGTTATCCAAAATCAGGAATAGTTTATTCTCATCTTTTTTTTTCTTTACTTGCAGGTACAAATACATGGGACAGATTTGAGCTTCGTGTCCACAAGCGGGTGATTGACCTTTTCAGCTCACCAGATGTTGTGAAACAAATCACTTCAATCACCATTGAACCCGGTGTTGAGGTTGAGGTCACTATTGCGGAATCTTAGATCTCCAATGTCCTTAGGTAGATGAGTTGCTATTTATATGTTGTGGTATTTTTGCCCGCAGACTTGATGTATTATAAGTTTTTTTGAATTACAATTTTGCTGTTAAAATCTTAGACTTCGATAAAAGCGAAGTGGTTTGTTTAATCGATTGCAACTTTCATGAATTCCTAGGGTGTGCCAACTACTAATTTTGATACTGGCAAATTGTTTTCTTTTGTACCTTGAATTTCCAAATGATAATGTACATGACCAATAGTAAGCATGCAGGCATTACCCCCTATCTCTGCCTCTCGTGATAGGTGTAATTCTTGCAATTCCGCTGAGTGCTTTAAGGAAAGGTGCAATTGAAGAAAAAATATAAGAAGCATACAATGCTAAAAAAAAAAGAACTATAAACACGAATATAAGAAGTTCCAAGGGAAAAAACTGTAATTAAGTAAAATATATGAAATGAAAACCATGCCATTGAAGTTCAAAACCCATAATTTCTGATTCAGACACAAATGTAGTTCATAATTTTTTCATTCAGATTTCGCGACTAATTTTCTTACATTAAAATTTTTTATAATTAGTTCAATCTTCTTATATTAAATTTCTCATTCCTATTTCTAAATAGTATAATAATACATAGCATAATGTTTAAAAGGAATCCGAGATATTTATAATTTTAGTGCCGCCCATTTCAGGACAAAGTCATAATTAGCATCATTGCTTAACCTTGTTCTTTTTTAAAAGTAGTTGGGAGACGCATCCAATCTGCACTGCACATAGCTTCAGGTCTTTGGTGACACTGATTTGTCATGTTCAAACAGTGTTCAATATAATATTTATCACAATAGTTTATCTTTTACCTTCTTTCTCATACCAACTATCTGGCTCCTGGTCTGGGTTTATGAATGGCACCTTGTTGATGTTGTTCAATAGAATGCAAAGAACACTTTAATTCACTCTGAATGGACTCACTTGAATTATTTTATCTAAATTGTTAGATTTAAGACTCTATTTTTAGAATACTTTTTCAACTAGGATTTTTATTCCTATTCCTATTCCTATTTTAAGTAGGAAATACTTATTTCTATTCTAACAGCTATTAGATAAATTTTGACTTACTTGAAGATGAATATTACAGAGAGGCCCAGACGACGTATTCTGAAGTAAATAATTGATGGAGATTACAAATGCAGAAACTGAGATTTATGTGAGAAGGATAAGCATCATGGAGGTCAATAAAGTCATCCTGGTAGTTTTATTTCTCAACCCACGAGGGAGTAGTCACATCACTATTCAACTCCACAAAGGGGATAAATGAGTCTTATGCTTGAATACTAAAGCACTATCTACTTGAGGGATTTATTATAACTACTATTTCTTTTGATTCTGTACTATAAATTCTTCAGGTATTCGTTGTAAGTGTAAACCCTAGACATTTTGTTTAACAAGTGTAGATTCTAGCTTTACAGGAATAGCTAGTCTCAAAGAGGCGGATTCTTGTGGTAGACTTAATAATCAAATTAGAATGGAGCTAAATTAATAGAGAGAAACTCCAACTAGTTTGGGGTTGAGTTTTCATTAAAAGTGTTCGGGGTTCTACACCTAATCTTTCACACTCTCACCTAAAGACGAGTATTCCCAACACCACTGTTCATTTGTTGGGATAGTGTGGTGATCAAACATACATGATACACCTTCTAGGCAGGTGTAAGAAGGATATTTGTTCTCGTGCCATCTGGCAGAGCTAAATTATTGGTGTGATTTCAAGTCTTCACTATTAAATGTTAATAAATTCTCAACGTTACTTGTTCTTTTTAAGTTTACGAAACCACTTTCGACAGATTTCATCTATGTGATGTGTGGAAGTGGGTCACTTTCTATGAGAATCATGTTTATTCTCAAATGCACTCATGATAGCACATGGTCATAACGTGTTGGCTTTAAAAGCTCATGTCAACACCTTGATTATTATGTATGAGCAGTGATATTTTATCTCCCTTAAGAAGTCATAGTTCAAGTATGAGATCACTACGACTCTGGAATAAAAATTATTGTTTCACTAAATGAAGGTTCAATGCAGAGAACACATTCATTATGCACAGTAATCTTTCTTCAGCTAATGGACTCTCTTTTCTAATATTAAAATGAGTGAAAGGATTGTTAGTATTTTGGACATTTTAATATTTTTTAATTATTAATTTATCTCTTAATACCCCTACAATTAAGTGTATTATCTACTGACCGTTGAGGACTTTTGATATATGGTTGTTGGTGTGACTAACTATTGCATTATTCCATTAGAAATTAGAGTCACATGCATTTCAATTTTGCAACAGATGCAAATGTCATTGATGGAATTGGTGTCTACTTGATTGTCTCTCATTTTTCTTTCTCCATTACTTTTTGTAATTTATGTAACTCCTAGGTCATTTACTTTCACTATTTACTATACCATTTATCTTCCAATTCATTATTTGAAAGACTTTTTGTAGTATAAATAGTGATGGTCTTCATTTGATTTGCAACACACAACACACAAGAGAAAAACATAGAGTGAAAGAGTTAGTCAAAAAGAGAATTCATATTAGTTAAAGGGATGTTCTTTTTTGTAAAACTTTGGACTCAACTCTTGTCCAGAGTTGTTGAGTTATACTTTGTGAATGCTATTATATCTTGGAGGGGACAAGTCAAAGAAGACAACTGCTGGACCAGTGAAAACGTTTATTGCAATGAGCTTGAATCTCCTTGAAGAGAGTGAGATATCTGCGCCTCAACCTGAAAAGATTTTATTTCTTCATTTCATTTGCAGTTGTAATCTTGTTTTTATTATCTTATATGTTTTTCACAGACAAATTATTAATAATACCTTTTTTTATGTTGTTTGGTTGATTAAGCAAGTACTATTTCTTGTTGATACTCTATTATTTAATAATTGTCTTAGATTAAGCAAGTTTTTCAAATTTAAATGTAATTGTGATTATTCGGCAGAGTTGCTAAGTTATTCAACTGAGTCTAATATAACATGAAATCCTACTAATTTGACATGACTTGCATGCCACCATTTTGACACATCATATCTAGATATGGTGAAGGTATAATAAAATCGATCTAACATGATTTGCATGTCACTAAGCTATTGTCGCTACTATTTCCCCTATTTTTTGACCCGAATTTTTGTTTATTAAACTTGAAGGCATTTTCGTATTAATATAAAAACTAAAGACAATTTCAAATACTAGGGGTAAAGATATCCCTTTTGTACAAACTATCCTTCTTGTCTGACTCTGGCCCTTCAAATAAGAGTCTTTAATTTTTTTTCTTAGCAATCGAACTTATCTCTATTGAGATGTTGATATTACTTTATCTCATGCGAAGAAATTATTTAACTTAATGTATAAAATTAAAGAACAACACGAATGGGGCTAAAATAGCAAATGACCTATAATAATTTTTCTTTACTTTTTGTAGATACAATTTAAATAGTAGTAGCATAAGAAGGGCCATTTGTGAAAATGTATCCAAGCCCAGTTTGTTAACCCGAACCCGAAAGAAACAAAATAAAACCCTAGCTAGGTTACGGTATATAAAAAAAGACGGAGAAATAACAGAAGCCTCCGCTAGAAGTTTAAGCAGTCCTCTTCGCCGTCGCAGAATTCTGAGCATTTTCTCTCCACTCTCAGGTAATCTTCATACAGTACAGTAAATTGGGTGTGTTTTTTCTGTGTAGGCTAATGGAAAAATGGCTTGTTGTTGTGCAGAAAGATGGCAGCATATGCAGCAATGAAGCCAACCAAGCCTGGGCTTGAGGAGCCTGCAGAGATGGTTCACAAGATTAGGATCACTCTCTCCTCCAAGAATGTTAAGAATCTCGAGAAAGGTAACCCCTTGTGCTTCTTTTATGTACATATGTTTGTTTCTTCAATGACATTAGTATGTGATTGTTCTGTTTATGTGAAACTTATTAAGATCCTGATGTTTGTTGTTATTTATTAATTTAACCCCAATTAACTAGGGTTTAAGTTTTGATTTTTGATCTAGACTTAACGAGTAGAATTAGTTTGTATCGTAGAGTAATGAAGCTTGTATGACGTGACTATTGTGATACTGCTAGTTCAGCTTTTATAACCTCAGATGCATTGTTCTCTAAAAAATCAACTGATTGTGCTGAGCTCGGTCGGTAGTCAATGTAACCGATTTTGAAGCCTTTCGTTGTTCTATTTTAATTTTGGATTGTTGCAAATTAAATTATTTAATTGGCCTATGGTTTTCTGTTTCCTCGTTATGTGTTATGCGTATATTATATGGGTTCCTATGGCCACTATTTAGTCTCATTATGCATTATCACTGGATTTGAATTTAATGCTGAATATAGAATTAGCTTGTATCTTAAAAGAGACAGATTGTGATTTTGTTTACCATGATGAAACATGTAATATGTGCCTTAATGAATGCTACAATTACATTTTGAAGCATTCTGTTTCAGATCTATTGCTTGAAACTTTTTTGATTGTTTACTTATGGTTGTGTTTTCCTGTTTAATATCATTTAATAAGAAGTATGCTCACTCTCTTTTGACCTGATTTGAATCTTTTAGTGTGCGCTGATTTGGTTCGTGGTGCCAAGGATAAGAGGCTCAGGGTGAAGGGACCAGTGAGAATGCCCACAAAGGTCCTTAACATCACCACTAGAAAGTCTCCTTGTGGAGAAGGTACTACTGTTCCATACATTTATTGTTTCGTACTAGAGCTTGTGTTGTCAATAAGAACATTTAGTAGACATTTGTTTAGTTTGAACTGTTTACATTGTATACTGGAAGATGTACTAGTTTGTGATTTATAGGATTATGAATGAACTTGTGTTTCGATATGTGTTTGGTTGATAACTTATGTTAGGTACTAACCACCACCATGAACAATGAAAATAGATATTGAAAGCTTGAGCTGTGTTTGGATCAGAAAAACTATTCATTTTATCCCCAATCAACCATATGGCAGGAATCTTCCACTCTGTTAACCCAATTCCATGAGCCAAATTTCCATTACATCCACTCGTAGTACAATTCAAGGGCATGTTGTCGCCTGTCTTCAATGATTTTATTTTCCTTGCTGATTACCCAGCCCCCGCTAGTTTCTCTTTTTGAAAGCTCATATTTCGAAGCTAGCTTGCAGAATCTATGTAGTTGGTTTTGCTTCATTATATTGATCTGTGATATCATTAGTAAACAAATGTGTATTGTGGAGATTTATTGTCTGTGAAGTTATCCAAAATCAGAAAGAGTTTATTCTTATCTTTTTTTTCTTTACTTGCAGGTACAAATACATGGGACAGATTTGAGCTTCGTGTCCACAAGCGGGTGATTGACCTTTTCAGCTCACCAGATGTTGTGAAACAAATCACTTCAATCACCATTGAACCCGGTGTTGAGGTTGAGGTCACTATTGCTGAATCTTAGATCTCCAATGTCCTTAGGTAGATGAGTTACTATTTTATATGTTCTGGTATTTTGGCCTGCAGACTTGGATGTATTACAAGTTTTTTTGAGTTACAATTTTGCTGTTGAAAATTTAGACTTTGATAAAAGCAAAGTGGTTTGTTTAATTGATTGCAACTTTCATGAATTCCTAGGGTATACCAAGTACTAATTTTGACACTGGTAAATTGATTTCTTTAATACCTTGAATTTCTAAATGAGAATGAACATGACCAATAGTAAGCATGAAGGCACTAATTCCTATTTCTACTTGTGGGATTGCATTGGCTAAGCTGCTAATGTGTTTTAATGCCATTTTGGTTAATCGAAGTGAAATTTGATTGTGGTAGTCCCAACAAAATCTTTGGATATTAAATTCTCCATCTTTGTATAACAATCAGATTAAGATATGATTTACTCATTTTGTGTAGAATCTGGTCTTGAATAAGTGACTGTTTTCCTTGAACTTTGTTAAATCTTGAAACCGGAGTAGTGTAGTGACTGAATTGCAACTCAAAATGATGTTGGTAAGTCAAGTAGTATAAACGTTAGGACGAATAATTATATAGAACATTCCATAATTGCAATCAAATTTTTGAAGGTAAAGTTGATTTAATTTGGAAATAACATTGATGAATTTGAACTAAATTACGAAACCCAAGATTACAAGCCTCAACTCTCAAACGAGGTTATTCCGCTTCAAGTAACAACACATAATAAGATAGTTTGAAGAAGGATCAGAGATGTAACTGTGCGCATCTGTAAACAAGGCATAACAAATAATAGAATACAAGACACCACTTTTTAGCCTTTTATCCTAATTTCGTAATCTTCATATACTGCATCTTAGCTGAAGTTGTGCTCTGTGCGACCGCCTCTCCACAGAAACAACTAAATAAATATATAGAATGTTTGAGATGGACGTGACATATTCTTTATAGAGGTTCTTGCTTTCAAGCTGGTCCTAAGAACTTTTTAAATATTGGATAGGGTAAGTGCAATATCTTTATGAGTATAAAACTATATACGTGTTGCGTTTTTCCCGAGAAGTGTAGAACACTTCATATTCATCATGTCTGTTGATTTCACGAGGAGCTATGTTTTGAGAAGATGTCTAGAGATTACTAAAAAGTTCCAAGTTGGAATTATTTGAGGTCCTATAGGGCAAAACACTGGCAGATTCAACATAAACGAGGAAAAATAAATTAAAAGTGACAAGAGGCAGGCGTTGGGGTGGAGGGGGCAAGTGCAAGAATTATAGGCAAGCAAATTTGTCATTCCCATTGAATAGCAAATGCTCACACGTTATTTTTAACACAATAAAACATGTCCAGGCATGTCAATGCATGCTTCTACCTACACCATAGAGTTCAATCACTGTCAACAAGTCAGTTTTAAACTGGTTGGATCATTCCATCTTTCATTCCCTAAGTTGACCCGCAGGCTCACAAGCATTAACAGGAAACAAAAGGGTTTTGATTGAACTATCCATATTTACTTGGTTGGAAGGGAGAAAAGCGGAGATTCACTTTCCTCCAACAGTCTTTCCGTTTCACTTTTTACATAGACAGAGAGAGATGTGACGATGATCAGGCCTGAATAAATTACGTCATCTTTCTGGTCCTTCAGGACAAGGCCCATTCAAAATACTGGCAACAGGCACCTCTAGCAGCAGTCCAATTTCCACACCCGAAGAAGAGGTTTCCTTGCTTTGGACCTGGTTTTCGGAACATCCCTTTGCTGCTCCTTACTCCACAGAAACAGTAGGGCTGATTTTGCAATACTGGACAAGGCACGTCTCTCATCTTTTGAGGTTGATAAGTTGGAAATGATGGGTGATCTGGGGGCAGCTTCCATGAAAGGGGTTCATCATTAGATTGATACATAAGAGAATCGGTGATAGAGAATCTAAAACCCTTATGCATGAGAAAAGCAAGCAAGCGGGCTGTATTTTTGGCATCATCCAGACCACAGTGAGCACGGCCCTGCCATGCTAAGCCAGCCATTTGGACCGCATCTTTCAAATTGCACCTCGCGCCTCCAAAAACCTCTCCAAAAGGAACCTTCAAGTTGATCCAACTGGAAGATATTTCTAAAGTTAACCCCCCAAAAACAAAAAAAAAGGCTCAAATTTAGAACACATAAAATAAAAATACAAACATACCGGTTAAAATATGGAGGCTTCCTAATCTTTTTGTATCGGCATTCGGATTCCAACATCACACGGCAGTCCCAACTGGACCATGTGACAACTGCGAAGTTGGTATTCTTTATCCCTTTCTTCTCAAGCCACTTGTCATGCCTAAGGAGCGCTTCACTTAGAGTAACACCTCTGTCAACCTGGAAAAGGAAAAAAAAACAAATTTGCATGACTCAGCTGCTACAACAATAAACCCACACACAGCAGCAACAGAGTACCAATACGCACAAGACAGGTCAAATCTACTCGAGAAAACGAATACTAAACTACAAGCCTGATTTTAAAAATGCAGTCTTCTTTAACGGCGTTGTCAAGAGCAAAATATGCAGAAAGCTTTAAAGGGTTTCAAGCACCGAGATTAGCTTAAGAGCAATTCAGCTGAGTGCTTTAAGGAAAGGTGCAAATGAAGAAAAATATAAGAAGCATACAATGCTAAAAAAAAAAAGAACTATAAACACGAATAGAAGTTCAAGGGAAAAAAACTGTAATTAAGTAAAATATACGAAATGAAAAACCATGCCATTGAAGTTCAAAACCCATAATTTCTGATTCAGACACAAATGTAGTTCAAAAATTTTCATTCAGATTTCACGACTAATTTTCTTACATTATTTTTTTTATAATTAGTTCAATCTTCTTATATTAAATTTCTCATTCCTATTTCTAAATAGTATAATAATATATTACGTAATGTTAAAAGCAATCCGAGATATTTATAGTTTAGTGCCGCCCATTTCAGGACAGTCATAAGCATCATTGCTTAACCTTGTTCTTTTTTAGAAGTTGTTGGTACACTAGTTTTTGGTTAGGCGCATGCCTTCTGCTCTCTTTGAACTGCTGCCTAAGTTGGGAGACACGTCCAATCTGCACAACACATAGCTTCAGGTCTTTGGTGACATTGATTTGTCATGTTCAAAGATCTCGAACATTCCTAACTCATTTCTATGGTGGACAAGGGTTCTCTCATGACTCCCTCTACATTTCTATTAAAGAAAAATAGGGATCATCCCTGCTTGAGAAATGTGTTCAAAACCTAGATCAAAATACTTACGTTGGATTAGAACAAAACATACATAGCAAGGGAAGAAATGTAATCACCATTAATCCAAGACTAGGATTTCTCTCATAGGAGTTTGGACTTATCCACCTCATCTTACAAACTCGTCTTGTTAAAACCCAATTACATTAATCTCTTCAATGGTGGTCAGTAAATTTGGTAATCACAAGAACATAGAGATACTGAAGATTCTATGAAGAGACAAATCTTACTCTATAGTCTAAAACCATGAAGGAGCTTCTTCACATCAGCACGGAGAGCAAGTTGGCATAAAAAGGTTAAAGGTAAATAATTTGAATGCATAACCGAAACAAGATACCAAGTATCCATTAAAATCGAAGGCAGCAAGATCTAATCATTTCTCATATAACTAACTGTATGGAGGAAATATCTCAAACCATAGCCATTTCAAACTTCTGAGGTAATTGCATACATAAAAACACAGGAGATAAAAGTAATTCCACAAGCCTGTAAAATCATTCTCAGTTTTCTTAGTTTATAACTTGCTTATAAATAATATAAGCTAGAAAAGGAAAGGAGGAGCAAATGAATAACATTTACTGCTAGTAGTGAGTTTCCAACTTCAACCCATCAAATTAAGTCAATCTTCATACGTGAAAGGGTTGTACGATACATATATCTTTTTTTGATCGGTAAAGGATATACAGTAAGACACATATGTTCAGTATATGCATATCAAAGGTTCTTCCATTATTATTATTATTATTATTTTATAAGTAATATAAGTAAAAGATTTTCTAATTTTTTGCACTAAGCCAGTGCATCAGGCATAATTCCAGGTTGTGCAATTTCTCATATCCAAGGATCTTCCATTATTAATTACAACTCTATCATCTTAGATGAAATCTAATAATTGGAAGGAATTCAAATACTTGCAACCAACCTGAATTTGCTGGATACCAGTCAGATCCTTGCAGAAATCACTCAGTTGTTGGTTGCATGTTGGCCTCACGTAAGTTTGAAAACAAGCTTCCAGCTGGCCAGTCGTGCTACTCACTATAACTGATGGAAACTCTATTATCTCCTGAGGGTGAGGATTCTTTTCTTTATCACATGTTGCCTCAAAGTCGATTACAACAAAATACTGGAAATCTTGGAACCGATAATCACACTGATAATTTTGAGGGAACATGTTCAATAGGCTATAATGGTAGTGATTTTCCACTGAATATGGATAGGGCTGGCTTTCAATAGCATTCAAGGAGCGCAGATGCATATTTGAGTTAGGATAAAAGGCAGACCATAGACCAAAGCCATGCTGATAGACAGTGTGGCTCGGAGATTCTTTTGAAGACTCAATTGGTTCACCAGTCAATGTGCAGTCCAAGCTGTCCCCACCTGGATGAATATAGGTGTCATCACTAGGCTCTGGTAAGACTTTGACCGCAGTTCTACTGTAGTGCAGATTATGGGGATAACCTGCACTCGGAAGGCATCTTACGGATGCCTCACAATTTGTATGCATAGTATCTGCAGTCCAAGGATAAAGAACAAGCCCATCAGATAGGTACTAATGGAAGTGTTACACACACATGAATAAATCAAGATCCCCAACGTACATAATTCCCACAAACTCAATAAACCAAGAGAAATTTTAATACAAATATGACAACACTGGCTGATTACATGGGACCAAATATTGAATCTCATTGCAGCTTGTGAGTTATTTGATGAATAATACTTGGATAAACAAAAATCTGCTGAAAAATCAGATAACCCAAAGAGGCCTTTCAAAAATTCCAGTTAAATGTTAATGCAGATCTGAAGCTTTTCTCCCTTAAGATAGCAGCCCAAACCACCTGTTCAAGGCAATAAAACTACTTTTCTAATGAACTAGTCTATAACTCGAATACACAAGGGAAAAGCAAAG